AACGTGAAATATCAAATACATAATATAAAAACTACCATAATTGTTTAAATTGCAGGTTTTAATTTACCATGTCGAAATTTAAAGGAGAATGCGATGCCGTCTGTTTTCCCTTAGTCCAAGTTTTTACCACCTTATATACCTAGCAGATGCTAGGGAAGAAAGACTACGAAATAGAAATCTGAAAAAGGAAGTTTTCCCACAAGAATACTTAAATTAATAGAAAAAAAAATTATTGTTTTATTTTTCATTTTAAAGGTAAATAACCATTTCTGTGTATAAATAGCATTAATACCATGTTAATTGTATTAAATAGCATTAATACCAAGTTGCTAGTAATTTTGATCATAAATCATTCTTTGTCCCATATAAACTTTATGTACCCTTTTTACCCCTTTTTTTATCTTAAAGCTAAACACCACTTTCTGTGTATTTCACAGAAATACACAGAAAGTGAATGACTGAGTTTCGTACAACATTTAATCCCCTATTTTACTCACTTAGAGGATGAATTTCAAAAAATCCTTTCTTATCTGCTGCATCATAAACGGAATACGTCCTCCAATTTTCACGTTTCTTCGAACAGCGGTTTAGTCTGTGTGTTGATCCATCAGTCATTCTATTAGGACCACCACAGGACGCACCGCTCCTTCTCAATTCTTCCTTCAGCTGGTCAACTTCTAGGTACAATACATTGCACAGGTAAGATACGAACACAATAAACCAGGTACAAAAGAAGTATCATAATAAATTGCTTAACCTCAGAGTTCAGACTCAATGTAAATAAATTATACATATACCTTCTTCCTTTCAAGAAATCTTCCCCATTGGCTTACTCGTAGTTGTGTCAATTTGTTAAACTGAGGATGTTTAATTATTATTATTACTTTCAGTGTAATGCTTGCGTAATAAAAAAGAATATATAATATTACCCGTTTCATTTTTGTCATAAAAAGTTATTTAGAAACCAACTATAACACAAAAATTCAGTAAAGTAAATTTTAGTACCTAACAAAATTAATAGATGCCATTTACATACCACTAATCAGCACTTATACAGAACAGACGAGTGGGTGGGCCAGACGCGCGCTTGCCGAACGAATACACGTTTGGTAGATACTCGTATATTAAATGTTACAACGTTGAAATTTGGCAGATAGATTTATCATTTTTCGTTATTTATTAAAATATAGGAACTAACTCGTTTAGGGCACATCGCAACATTACCTCATCTTGAGGGTTTCTGCAGTGCAAAGGCGACGATGGATTGTTCCGCGTTGACACGTCGACTTTGAGTCATTATTGTGAATTTTTCACTTTTCTTTTCTTAACCTGTTAAGTTATAAATTTATGGTGCAACTCACGCTCACTTTACACTTCGAATGCGTCTCTAGATGTATCTATAACCATAGATACCTACATTTTATTGCTTTATTAATTAATTACTAGCGACTTTGAGTGAATAATAAAATTGCCTATATCTTGAAACATAATTTTTAATATGTATTTAATATTAATAAATTGACAGTGGAAGAGGTAAATAAAATAGGGCATTTAAATGTTCAAACGCAACGTGATTTTCCATCAATTCTATGGTATCGTGTTTAAGATCGCTCTTAGTAAACGATGTTTTATGGCTAGCTATAAAAAGAGACAAGATATAAAATGGATAAATGTTCTTGTTAATCTATATTTGTATCGTACTAACTCAAGGTTATAAAAAAACATAAATTGCTTGAATCATTTCAGATGATGATCCACTTAAATATTTTGATAACTCATTGTACACCACATCAGTAAACACAGTTCAGTGTTTCAGAAAACACGTCGGAAAATTGATCGTAATTGTTAACGAATGAAGAGTTCCTTACAGTGTTATAATTTAATTAACATTTTCCCGCACCCGCGTATTTCAAAATTAACGTATTTTCGTACAAACTTCCAATGCCTTTTATACTATTTTCAACCGACTTCAAAAAGGAGGAGGTTCTCAATTCGACTGAATTTTTGTATGTTTGTTACCTCAGAACTCCGTCATTTATTAACCGATTTGGACAATTTTTGTGTTGTTTGAAAGTGTTATCTTCCAGATTGGTCCCATTTAAATTTAAAAAAAAATACCGCCCCTAAGGGTGGAAAAATAGCTAATAATGAATTTAACCTACTCCTAATTGTCATATTGACTTGAAACTTTGCAAGTGTTTCTGTTTCCGTTGATAGTACAGTGGTTCGGTATTGTTGACCTGATCCGATGGTAAGGCCAGAAGGTGGATAGGTGGAACTCTTCAACGGCTAATAGTAGATACTTTGAGTTTGGGCTTATTTTCAACCGACTTCAAAAAGGAGGAGGTTCTCAATTCGACTGATTGTTTTTTTTTCGTTTGTTACCTCAGAACTCCGTCATTTCTAAACCGATTTGGACAATTTTTGTTTTGTTTGAAAGGGTATACTTCCAGATTGGTCCCATTTAAATTTCAAAAAAAATACCACCCCTAAGGGTGGAAAAACAACTAATGATGAATTTAACCTACTTCTAATTGTCATATTGACTTGAAACTTTGCAAGTATTTCTATTTCCGTTGATAGTACAGTGGTTCGGTGTTGTTGACCTGATCTGATGGCAAGGCCAGAAGGTGGATAGGTGGAACTCTTCAACGGCTAATAGTAGATACTTTGAGTTTGGGCTTATTTTGTTTGATTTGACAAGCCTAACATGTCAGAATTCTTACTTTGCTACTACTGTCTACACTAAAAAGGGAAAAATAAAAACTTTTTAATAAAAAAATTAAAACCGACTTTAAACAAAAGCACTAAAAAGTAAAAAATAACTGATTGGTAGTTTTCATTTACTATACATACCTAATCAAATATTTTCGAAGTCGGTGTGCTTTGGCTAAGTAATTAAAGCCTACCTATTAAATACATACCTAATCAAATATTTTCGAAATTTTACGTATTGAATTTCCTTTCCTAGTGAATACCAACTCCCGATTGATTTATCATCTACCTGCCAAATTTCAAGTTTATACTTTCTAAGAGTTCGTGATTAAGCATTATTAAGTATTTTGCTTTTATAACAAGCAAAAACAAAGAAGTCTAGGTACTTATTGTTAATTAATAGTCTGTTTAGACTATAAAGGCATTATTAAACTAAATCCACTCAGACTTCTCAAGCTTTCTACAGAAACAATATCTTTGACAGGATGTTGTCTGTCAGTAGAATGTTAATACATTGATTGATTCCTATGTATGTGAATTGGGCCGTACCAGAAGGTATCAAACGTGAACATTTAGATGCAAGCACTATGTATTGTGATTTGGCATAGACCAAATTACAACTTGAGATATCTATTTACTATCCTCCTAAGGGTTGGTTAGAATTACATCAACGTTATATATTTAATATTAATTATTGCAGTAAGTAACTACTGCAACTCGTCGATATTATTATACGTACGTATATTATATTTATTAGTATATATCATATAATGTTATTTTTTTATTTCAGGGCTAAACACTCACTTGTTACTTTGATTTTGAACTCGATGCGATTACGAATACATTGCATTGTTCATCTCACACCTCTACTTCGTGTGGTCACGACTGAACCGAACAAAGTACCTACAATGCATTTCATAATAAAATTTCCGTTTCTTAGATCGAATTTAAATTAGAGTTGAATACATAAAATTATAATCTAATTTAACAAAATATTTCTTTGATCGTGAAAACCAGAGAAAATATGGTAAATAACTTTCTAATTTTATTTATAAGGTAATATATTCAATATTTTTAAGGTTCCTCGTTTATATTAAATGCTTTAGAAGTCTAATATAACAACCTGTTTATTGTAATATAATACACTCTTATTAACAAAATAATTATTGCTAAGGCTTTTATGCCATTAAACCACTTAAGAGCTTTAGAAACACGAAATGATATTCTGTATAAACTTCATATGGTCAATATTATCAAGTGGAGTTTACTGTACTTAAAGCCACGAGTAAGTGCTGCGAAGCTTATATAATAACTAAAAAATTTTCTAGAAAGTACTTGTTTATTCCATTAACGGTTCTAGCGAATTACTATTTCCTTTATTTTGTCCTTATTAAGATTGCGTAACACGGTTTTATTTTTACTCGTGATCGCCGAGTTGTCGAAATTCGACTATAATCATTATTTAAAATTTGAGAAAAACATATGTATATGAGTAGAATTTGCCTATCTATCTATATATATATATATATATATATATATATATATATATATATATATATATATATATATATATATATATATATATATATATATATATATATATAAGTATCTGTTTCCAAAAAACTGTTTGCTCGTCATTACCAAATAAACTAAAAAAGAGAATCTGTTGACAAACTTTATTAATTATTTATTGTTTCGTATCATAAAATCATTTTATGTCAAATGTTAAAAAGAGCAACTTTTAAGTATGTCGCCAAATCTTTTCAGCAAAGTTGCCTTCCGAGCGGGTGGTAGGTTCCTAAAGAACATTCAAAAGTGCTCGTAAAAGTCAATTTAAATAGTGTATATTTTGATTTCAGGAAATTGAAAAAACTCCCACGAAGAAAACAGAAATTATATATTTAATTAACATTTATTAATCGAAACTTACAAATTTTTGTTATTTTGTACATCATATCGAAATTTACATTTTGAATTCGTAAGTTATTTTCTACTGGAAATATCAAATATCACGTCATTATGAAACTCCCTACTAGCGTTATGAATATTGAATAGCTATACTAAAAGTAGTAATTGATTACGACACTGATGTTAAATAACAAAATCAACTTATTATATCTTTGGATACTGATGCTTAATAAAGCAAAAAAATTTTATATTTTTCTTAGTTAAGTTCGATAAACCTTAACTAAAAAAATATTGAAATAAACAATATAATATTAATTATTATTGAGAACATTATTGTAATCTTGCATTCCGACTTAATGATTTAATCATTTCTTTTAAGCTTCTGAGTAATTTGGATTTCCCTTATATTTAACAAAAAATACTTCATGATCAGATACTTTTTGTTGAGTCACATCTGCCCTTGCAGGTTCTGGTGTTTTAGATAAAACGTATATAATTGTTTTTTCTATGACTGATTGTTGTATCCTGTTTTTAGTTTCTTGTGAAGGCAATTTTATGAATAATATCTTATAAACTCGTGTGGGTGGTTGAATATTCCGAACTACTGAAGGCTCCTCAATATCAGGGGGTGGTATATGAAAGGAAACCTGTTTAGTAATTACCGGAACTACGTTATTTTGAACGTTCAACTTCTGATTATCAATATTTTGTATAATATTTGATTGCATTAAAACACTATTTTCAATAGACGATACTGAACCTAAATTTATGTCGGACACTATATGGGGATCCTGTGAAATTTGTGGCGCACTAAATTGCGTACCGATATTGTTCTGAACACTTAAAGCCTGCTGTAAATTTAATACGGGTCGTACGTTAGGTCTCCTCATATCAACTACAGTTTGTAGAGAGCTTTGGCTGTGTTGAGTTTGGTGATTGTGTTCTGCGCTTAACGAGTGCACAGCTGAAAGCGGCTTCGCATTTTCGCCGCGTGATTGCATGTTGTCATGTAAATTTATAGAAGATGCCATATTTTGGTTCTTAAAAAAAGTTTCTGGGCAATTTAATAATTTATCATCAATATTTTGAGGGTCAATTGAGTTTAAAACTTGAAATCCATTATTTTTAAAGCCTTTTGGTAATACCTGTGTCGACTGATGGTTTCGAATTAACTGTGCATCGTTTTCTATATCTAATATCTGTTGTACATTTATATGGTTTTGCTCTGTTAAAGCTGGGTTTTGTACAGTAGCGCTCTGAACAGAAGTACTGGCGTCAATATTAGCATTCAACTCAGTCGTCATCGGCTCGAGACTTGTAAGATCTTGATGGGTACTTATAATGCGGTTTTGTTGCGCTGGATGCACTGCATTATCCGAAGAAAAAAATATCTCGTGTATTTTATTTTTTCCATGCTGCTGCAAATATGAGTAGTCTCCATGACCTACTGAATAAGATATTTCGTTTACGTACTCATCTGATGAAGTTTGTCGGACCGGATTTGTATGGTGTGACAAGGGTTGGTAATGAGGAAGCTCGAATGCAATACTTGGTTTTGGGTAAACATAGCCTCCATGAACTTCACATATTACAAATATCACACTCAGTACCTAAAAATAATTAAGTATATGATTATTGACAATACAACTTTCACACATAGAAATGTATATTTATTCTTAATTACAAACCACTGCAAACAACATATCGAATACCAATCTTAGTAGTGTCACCACAAAATGAAATACTCCGAATTGCCATCAAAGCTATATATAAAAACTTTCCCCATACTACTACTAATAGATAGATGTTACTTAATTTTGCATAAAGCATGCGTTTCTAATTCAAAGGCACATCCGCTTTATTTAGACTACGGACACAATATTAATAATAGACTTTTTTCGTAAAAATTAACAAAAAATATGTATAATTTATGTCAAAAAATATGTAAAATATATTGCACAAAATTTGTATTTTATCCAACTTTCAAAAAAATGTAGTTGTTATATCTTATATATTTATTTTAATGTCTACCTTTGAATTGATAAGTTTTAACTAGGTATATTTCTGATACTCTTAATCTTATATTTTATATTCTTATACAAAGAAAAGGCAATATATCATGTAACAACGCTAAACGCTTGTACTGTGATCTTAACTTTCATTTAACATATTAGGGTAACGACTTGAACTATCAAAATGAAGATGAATTTAACTTAAAAATATACCTATTAGATGTCGTGTGTGGTGATAAATACTGACGAATTTAATGTCTTAGCAGACATATGTAAGTATGCACCAAAATGACACTGCTTGCGATTTCGTTTTTTTTTAATATTGTAATATTATTTTACATTTTTATTAAATGTATCGTTTTTTAATGACGATATAATGTTTTTTTATTAATTTCAGTAAGTCATTAAATATATCTTTGAATTTATAACAAAACCTATTAAATGAATCTTTTAAAAATTGAGTTTTCATTTCAAAAAATATTTAATTAAGTACCTTCCAAGTAAAGTAAACGTAAGAGGGTGATATTTGTTTTCATATGAAGAATGTTGTGGTATATTAAAATAATTTAGATAGGCACTAGGCAAATATACTTAATAACTGAGAATTTATGCTGCCTTTGAACGATTTTTTTACGTTAATTATGTACTCAGCGCTGGATTTACACTAGGAGCACTCGGTGCCCAGGGCGGCAAATTTTTAGGGGCGGCAAAATTCGGAGGGCAGGAAAAAAATTCTTCGCGTTATCGAAAATGCTAACTAGTAGGAAAAATTGATATCATTTATAAATTATTTTTTGCATTTTTCAAAAAAATAATAATTAAAAAAAATTAACTATCGAAGCTTTATCCATTTTATGCAAAAGTTCGATAGTAAGGCGGCATTTTTTACTATACCCAGGGGCGGCGCTAAGCGGCACTGTATGTACTTCTGGAACTCTCACTTTCCACAACATCTTGTTTTGAAAATCGTTTCGGAAAATATTACAAAACAGTGCTCGCTAACCCATACCTGTATCGCGACAAATTAACATTAAGAAAGGTATAATTATCTAATTTAAATAATCAGCTAAATATAAATTAATCGATAGCTATTATATTAGTAATAATAATTATATTAGTATTAGTAATAATAATAATAATAATAGGTATATAAATGATCAAAATTAATTTAATAGTTTGAGAGTTTATCGCCAAAACAAAACAATCAAACCAACAAACAAAACAGAAGTATAGACATACTACAAATGTTATTATTAAAACAAAAAGTACAATAATACTAAATCAAACGTGAATTAACGGGGGAACCTTTGTCGCATTGAAATTATTATATAGTAGTACTAGCGGACCCGACAGACGTTGTCCTGTACACACGTCTTTAATTTCATACTTTTTTTAATGAGCTGAAACAATCTGGACCGCTTTGATGAAAATTATTATTGAAAAGTTATTACTTTGTTAAATAAATAACAGCATCGTAAATGAAAACTTTAACTCATTTTAATGAAAGGTGAAAAAGCTTGCACTCAAAAAATATTTTAATTAGCAACTTCACTTGAATAACACAATTATAACACAAAATAACGAAATACTTTTTCAAATTGATCGTAGCACTATCTGTCGGGACAAACTAAAATTAAAATAGAATAATATTGAATGCGATGGTAGCGCCATCCGTCGAATCTGATGTAAAACATTCCAAAATCAAAAACTCCTTACAAATAAAAATTAATTAAAAAAACATCTGAATTCACAAAATTATTTATACACACTTCAAAACTCTTTAAAAAATAATTACATTTAATATTTTAATCAGCACATGAATTGAATAACAAAATTTTTTTCAAATTAATCGTAGCACCATCTGTCGGGACAAACTAAAATTGAAATAGAATAATATTGAATGCGATGATAGCGCCGTCCGCCGGATCTAATGTAAAACATTCCAAAATCAACAACTCCTTATAAATAAGAAATTAATTAAAAAAACATCTGAATTCACAAAATTATTTATACACACTTCAAAACTCTTTAAAAAATAATTACATTTAATATTTTAATCAGCACATGAATTGAATAACAAAATTTTTTTCAAATTAATCGTAGCACCATCTGTCGGGACAAACTAAAATTGAAATAGAATAATATTGAATGCGATGATAGCGCCGTCCGCCGGATCTAATGTAAAACATTCCAAAATCAACAACTCCTTATAAATAAGAAATTAATTGAAAAAACATTTTCCAGTAGACCAAACTGTAAATCTAAACCATTCTCGAATCTCCACGAACACACACAAAAAATTTCATCAAAATTGGTCCAGTCGTTTAGGAGGAGTTCAGTCACATACACACGCACACAAGAAATATATATATTAAGATAGAATATAATATGTATGTAAAACCTAAGAAATTGGTCCTTGTTCATTTGAACGCGGGCGGAGCCGCGGGCAATGCTAGTATTATATAACTTTAACTAAAAGCGTAACTTTCATTTAATAAACTAATGTCATGTTAACATGAAGAGCTCTCTATTAGTTTAGTAAACTACTCTAAAGTTTAATGCATTTTGTAGAAAATGAAAATGGAATACGAGTGATTGCAGCTGTAGGAAATGACAAACTACTCAACATAATGTCGTTGTGTTTGGGCTTGTTTTTTACCCGACTGCAAGGAAAGGGCAATGTTTTTTGCGCTCATCTTTGTATGTTAATTTGTAATATTATTTATTACCTCATATCTTCCAAACCACTCGATGGATTTCTTTAATTAAGGTATTGTTAGATTCGTCTCATTAGTCCAAGTATTTTTAGATAGGCGACATAAAAAATAAATAAATATGGGTGTGCTAGATTCCATAATATGAAAAAGAAAAAAAGAAAATCGACGAACTATCGTACTTACTTATGAACTTGAGTATAACTACTATACACAAGTGGGGTATCGTTGAATAGGTATTTAAAAATCATTTTTAGGTTTCTTTTAACATTTTTCATTTTAAATAATAGTTTAGGATATATAATGATTTAAAATTTGTTAACAACCATTCTCGCTAATTTTCTTACTTAAAAATACATAAAAATCTGTAAATAAATAAATATATTATAAAAATAAAAAACCGGACTGCATAAAAGCCAACTACAAAGTTGAAAACAAGTTCACGATGATAAGTGGGTTAATATAGGGATGAAAGTTTGTATGGGGAATCAACCGAATAGGGTGAAGGGACCCGAGCGAAGCGAGGGTGAGTCGATAGTCTATAATATACAGTGTTACACTCTATAACCAAGTAATACACAGTCATTTCAATGAGTCTCAACAGGATTTATCTGCAGTAGGTATTTTAGTAAAGAGTTGAGTTTCTAGCAGATTCCAGATGACGCTGCAGCATCAGATCTAGGTTACCACATCAATGTAAAATCATTGAAGTAACGAAATACCAAGTTCCGAATTGATTAGATCTGCGGAAGTTGTTGATATCCTTTTACCGTTTAGAAAAGAGCTGATAGCCTGCAAACGGCTGAACGGATTTTCTTGTCTCTCTTTCTCTCTCTCTCGACGTCGAAATCACCTTTCAAATAAAAAAATCTAAATTAAAATCAATTCATCTCACAGACAAACACATTTACACAGACGCACAGATACACATGTTAAACTTATAACTACCGTATTTTTGCGTCGGGAGTTAATGAATAAATATATGCAAAGTACAAAATGACTATATCAATAATTTGTAAGTAAAATAATTATAATTATTAGAGGGCATACCACGTAAATTTAAATGAAGTATATATTTTTCTAACATATTTCTTGAGTTTTTGCATTGGCTATTCGATTTTAAAAAGTCTACTTGGTTGGAGTCTAGGTCAAGAAAGGAAGGGCCAAAAAATAGTTATTAATCTATTAGAATTTAGATGTCAAAATACTCGTGTTTTCTTTCAAAAAACCACCTAACAAAAACCAAATAAATAAGAGTAAAAAAAGTTCAGCTTAATATATAATTTTATATGCATACAAGATATCCACCTTACTTCTATACTCGTACCTAAAGCCTAATATTATATATCGTCTTGTTTTAATTAATCACCTCTTTTGCTTTGTTACAGTCACCGAAAAGGAAATAAGACTTTGGTATGTCGGTTTTTTTATCTATCTCCTTTTATTAAGTAAATTAAAATATTTTCACCGTTTAATTTGAAAGTAAAGAATAATAATGATTTCTAATTATTATTAGGTACTATATATTCTTCGTATTCATTGTATAAACTTATAGAAGCATAATTACACAGAAGTCTTTTCAAAAAAAGCCAGAAACTCATAAGTTTGAACAAACATTAGTATTTGCTACTTAAAAATCGGCGTGAGTTTTATTTTTTTATTTTCCAGAAAATTGGTCTAAGTGTAAAAGATATATATATATATATATATATATATATATATATATATATATATACTTTGAGTAATTATATATATATATATATAATTACTCAAAGTTTTCATGACCAAATTAATATCAGTAAATGTATTTGAATATGGGGACAAGGTTGAGCTTTTACAGTTTTACTTCCATGTGTAACTAATTGTTGGGCTAACTTTAACTATGAGTGTAATCTACTTTACTTTCCTTTATCCTCTGGAAGTGCTCGTGTAACTTTTATAATATAATTATATTTAATATTTGTACGAGATGTAGTTGATATGCAATGTGCATGCTCTTATTTTTCATCACGAAGTAAAAATACTAATATAGTTTACTTTATGTGTAGAATTGTATTAAAATCCTGTTAAGTGCTTAGTACTTTATAGTTGTTAAAGGATAAATGTTTTTAAAAATGTCTAAAAGATTCTATCGTAAAATACTTTCAATTTTTTATTTTATTCCATATACTAATTTAGATTCGTCTGTATTAACAGAACGCTATTAAGTGTAGACATTTAATAAGCTCCTACAACTCTCAGTGCAAAAAAAATTACAAAGTATTCTTGTAATTAAAAAATCTTTTTACTCCGTAGGCACAAAGGTTTCCTGAAGGATTGCCCTAATGGCTTGCTCACTGAACAGGTACTAAAATATTAATTCTTATAAAGTTATACCTATTTGCAAATCATCAAAGGTCTTTTAGAGAATAAATATTTATTGCTCCAAAATGAAAGATATGTTTTATGAATTTGGATATGGATAATCATTATTGCGTGTACTTTATATATAATTTTATTATTTTCAGGGCTTCATTAAGATCTATAAGCAATTCTTTCCTCAAGGTGACCCCAGTAAATTTGCTTCACTCGTCTTTCGGGTGTTCGATGAAAACAATGTAAGTAATGTTCTATTATATATGTAAGTCATATGTACCTACTAAGGATAATCTTTTACTAAATTGTTATATATTTAAAATATCTATGAACGTATAAATTAAACTAGTACCAAGTTCATAGAATTAATCAACATACTTTATGTAACAGTTAACAAAAATTTAATATTCATAAGGTGATATCATCAGAGCTAGAACTATATGTTTCGTTAGGCGGTCATATGCAGAGCAATTCTGTGGCTTGAGAATTTAAAACTATATTATAATTTCATGATTGGAAGCTGAATATCGTCAAATATTCTAAAACACTTCAATCTAATGTAATTACATTTTCTTATAATTGTGTGTATGTGTGTCTGTGTCACCCATCAAAAAAAATAGAATCACGTATTTATTACATAATTTTACTTTGTAGATAAACTGAGATATGCCAGATAATAAAATTCCTTTGTTTAGTAAGCTTTTGTTACATCATCATGAGAACATGTTTTTAGGATGGATCTATTGAATTTGAAGAATTCATACGAGCACTTTCGGTGACGTCACGAGGCAACTTGGATGAAAAGCTGCACTGTAAGTTGTTTACCAAACTTTCTGATATATTCTGTTTGCCAAAACCTGTTCATTTCTGTAGAGAAATCTATTTGTCTTTGAAGAAAAAATGTTTTATGGATAATATGAAATGTAGGTATGTAGTTACATATGTAATATTATTAATATACATATATGTCCGTAAAATTGTAAATAAAAAGTAAATTGTCGAAAGATTGTGAATCGTAATATATTGCTTACAATTTAACGCATTATTTTTCGGTATATAGTCTATCGAAGTGAAACCGTCAAATTGTGAAATGGAAGAATTTACCACAGAGTTACAAAACTATTACAGTAGGCATTACTCGGAAGAACCCTTTCTTTCTTTCTAGATTCGTTAGGTTAGAAAAGTGACCACAACGCATGAGCCGAGGGAGAGAAGTGAGAGTGTCGCGGTAGCGGCGGGCGAGTGCCATAATTATGCCTACTGTAATAATTTTGTAACCCTATGGTAAATTCTTCTATTACATAATTTGACGGTTTCACTTTGATAGATTATAATGTACCTAAAATTAATGCGTTAAATTGTAAGCAGTATGTTATGGTTCACAATCTTTCGACAGTTTACAATCTCGCGAGATAGATTATAATTTAACGGTATTTACAATTTTGCAGTGACGTATATAATAATAATAATACTTTTTTCATTAATTGGGCAAAATCTCTTAGGCATCTAGCCTAGCCTACACATACCTAATATATGACATTTTTTTTATTCAAAATGTTTAAGCAAATAAGTACTAAATAAATGGCAAATAGTGGCAAAAATTGTCTAGCGATGTACATACATACGTATTACGTATATAATGAGCTTTCTGTTCTTTTTTGTAACATGTGGATTATTTTTAGGGGCATTCCGCCTCTACGACGTGGACAACGATGGATACATCACTCGCGACGAAATGTATAACATAGTCGATGCGATCTATCAGATGGTTGTAAGTATTATGTACTTACCTTTACTTTTCAACCGACTTCAAAAAGGAGGAGGTTCTCAATTCGACTGTATGTTTTTTTTAATGTAATTAAGTTGAGACTATGTGTATTGTTACATTGAAACTACTACAAATTATATCAGAATAAATTTCCAATTGTTTATCTCTTGATTTTTACGAATGCATAAGGTCGAAGCAAAGAGTCTCACAAATAAAGTATTATCTAATGACAATAAGTGCATACATAATACAAGTTAAAGCAAAAAAGCATTTCATAATTGACGAATATATTGCGCTTCAAACATGCATACATACAACCGAATAGAGTACCTTCTTTTTTAAGGTTTTAATATAATTTTCATTTTTTTTCATAATATTTTAATAGGACAGTAAGAAAAAAAGACGATAGGACAGTTATTTTGGCTCAAACTTAATGTCTTTCTGTTTTCATCAAATTTTAGCGAACGTTATTGTAGGTAATCAATACAAACATTACTCATATGGGAATCAAACCATTCGACATACGCAGTGTCAATGAGACATTCACTCAGCGACAGCATAAGTACTGCTTAACGCAACGCAAAAACGATCGTTGAAAAATAACAACGTAAATATAAATTCAATTCCAATGATTTATTGTGAAGTAGATACGTTCTGTACATAATGAAATAAGACTAATCTTCTCACATTTAAATTTTATAAATATGTACAGTGTTAAATTATATGAACCGTGAATAGTTCGAAATAAAATAGTACCAGGAGTAGTAACACTTGAGTAATGACATCCACGTACATTACCTATTCAACTATTTTGTAGTGATAAAACGATTACGGTTAAGATTAATCGTAATTAACGATTATCGACCTTTCACAATTAATCGTAATCGTCAATTATCATTGCGATTATTTAGCGATGAAATTTATTCCTATTCTTAATATGACATATTTAATTTTTAAATGCGCATAATGTATTGTACATCTTTAATTCATGCGTGTGTGTTGAGTATTAGAAAGAAGCCACACGTTTGGCTCAGTTGGTAGTTACCCTCCTAGCTGTTCCAGCGGTCGCGGGTTCGAGTCCCGCTGGGGGCATTCATTTGTGTGATGAGCACGAATGTTTGTACTCCCGTCATGGGTGTTTGTATTTATAATATGTATGTATTTAAAGTTATATATGTGTAGTGTATTAACTATCTGGTATCCATAACACAAGCCTCGTAGCTTACCATGGAACTAGATGGCGCTGTGTGTTAATGTCCCAACATTTATTTATTTATTATTTATTTATATGCCCTTAAAAAAGAAATAGCAAAAAAAACATCTTTCAATCAAACATCGTCCGTAGCATCTGAGAGATTGTTCTCCATTGCTGGATTGATTCAAACTGAAAAAAAGAACAGATTGACGCCCGACTAGCTAAAAATATGTATTACGAGTATGTTATCTGAATAAATATATTTGCTTGTTATTTCTACAGCAAATGTTATTAATTTAGCTTATTGTATGTTTAATAATATGTTTTTTACCGATAATAGTATGTTTTATTAAAAAACAGAACTAATCGAAATCATCGATTATTAAACGCAATAATAATATAATCGCTGTGAATCGTTCCTCACTATTATTTTGTTTGTTTTCATAAGTGTATACCTACCTGTATCAGATACAATTTGTAAAAATTTTCCGAATATTGATACTAGTATGATATAAGAGTCCATCAAAAAATGTTCATTCATAAATAGAAGATATTTCTCATACTCTTTCAGGGTCAAACACCGCAGCCTGAAGATGAGAACACGCCGCAGAAACGCGTCGACAAGATCTTCGATCAAATGGATAAGAACCACGACGATCGTCTCACCCTCGAAGAGTTCCGCGAGGGCAGCAAGGCCGACCCGCGCATTGTTCAGGCACTCTCCCTTGGAGGCGATTAATCGACGGTCATCCTCTCGCCGGATTTCTCATTTACTTCTGAACCCTAAGCTGTTTACCCCGCTTACTTAATTTGCCTACTTTAAAGTACTTTTTAAATTTTTCACTATGTTTTATTTCGTAGAAATCTATATCTTTCTAAGCTTAGTATTTGCCAATATGGATTCAGATTTCTGCGAGGCAAGGACAGGGCATGCTTACTTATATAAATTATAATATTAAAGACTTGAAAAGTATTTTAGTGGGAGCTTTATCTCATCAATTTTTTAATCTTAACTTTGTAAATTAATTAATTAAAAATTTCAAAAATGAAAAATGAATTGTTGAGAGATTAACATAATAATTAATAGGATAAATTTTATCTGCATTGATTTTATCTGCAGCAATGTAAAAAACGGGCATCGGGCGCTATGCCAGTTGGATCACCTATCTTTTGCTATGTATGTTCTTATCTATGTTGAATCAGCAGCTTTTTTTCTACTATATTTTCGTTTTCAAAACATTCTTCATATTTAATTTATATTTTAAATTACTTTCTACAGATTAGATAAGGTTTACATTATAACTGTAATATTATTTTGAAAGTATTTAATGAAGAAGAAAATATAGTTTTGTATCGGAAGGGTAGAGATTAATTTATGATAAGAACTTATCTAATTATAATGAAATTTATAATGTGAGAGTATGGATATGTGTATCCTCGCTTAAAGTTTCGTGTTGGCAAATTCATTATAAAGTATCTAATTAGACTGTATTTACTATCTTTCACCTTCTTCCAAGTCAAATTTTATTTTATTTGATTTCTGCTAATGCCTATCCAATAATGAGATAAATTCGTGCGAGAGAATGATTGGCAATGGAGCCATCACTGATATTTTACAAGTCATTAGAATTTTTCTAATTAGGCCGATGAATCATGTAGCTGAAGCAGCGCGGTCTTCATCCGTACCAGCTGTTCTCAAGGAGTCTGTTGGAACGAGGGCAGTTGTAATGTAACATCGTAATGTTCACGTCATACCTCCTTATCACTTACATTATGATCGCAATTACCTACACAACAGAATACACGTTATTATAGGTACACTAAAAGCTGACCGTGCTGCGACGTTTGTAACACGATCCAAAAATTCCTAACATATACAATAAACATATATATTTATGTATTATAAATGTTGTCATTTTCATGTTGCCATGTATTTCACGCACGATTCTCAACAACAACGTACATCCGAACATAGTGTCCATATTCATCATTAAATATTATGAGATAATGTTAATATGATCTACGAATATTTTGTTATAAACGATTTTCCGAAATAATTGTTAATTGTTGATTAATTATTAGGTTTTAAAGACTTGGCCCCATAATGGTTAAATTTGTATTTTGGGACAATATAAATTAAATAATAAATTTTTGGCGTTATAATAAAAGTTTTGGGTTTTTACAGCCCCAGTTAATATAAAATAAAATACTTATAACGATTCATCGAAGGTATGCTTAGTAGCAATGCCTCGAGTAAGATAATGAAGTTACCTATAGGTAAACATTATAAAAATGTAAAAATCGTTGTTAAATTAAACAAAATATGTTTAATCTAATTTGAAAAATAAATTGACAAGCGACGTATTAAATATTGATTATAATACGCAAGTGAATAAATACACTGTTTCGAGTAGTCGTTTACAATAGGAAAAGCGCAGGAGCTACGCGTCTCCTTTTATTGCAGAACATTCGATTGTACCTAATTAATTAGAATGTTACACTTGCACTATTTTATAGAATAATTTAAGGATTTAAAGCTTAATGTGGAGTGTAGTTTAAATAATATATTTAAACATTAAATTAATGCTGCGCCTTATTATATAATGTTTGTGTTTTTTTACGTAACTACAGCTATTGTCGGATTTAACATTGCTTAATCATAATGACTTTTTCAGGTTATGTAAAGAACTGCGAAGCATTTATTTATATTTAACTTATTACCTATTTTACCTACAACAATTTTCGGAATTCTGAGTAAATTGTTTTTTTAACAATTGATCTTAATTGTTTATACAATATACCCACGTGTTTGTACTAGGGTTAATTATACACTGACTGATAACAAAATTTCTTTGGCAACATTTTATAATTTAATAACTTTGTTTTCCTTTTCGTATGGTCCCTTATACCTACCTACCTTGCCCTAAGTTGTTACAGATGAATATGTAAAAAAAAGTATTATAGGGCTGTTTCCGTGTGGCTTGATACTATCGCATTTCAAACACTTTCACTTCTTGGGTAAATTGAAATAATATATGTACATTATATAACATAAATTAATAGCAAGCAAGAAATACAAAAATTAGGACATACTACCATCCGCCATAGGCCATCCACAATCCACACATTACAAAATTTAAACACAATTCATACACTTAATTCAAATTGACGTATATACCCGCCCAAGGTACCAAAAGATTATTAGAATATTATACAGCTACAATTTTTTACATAAATAAAGAATGCAAAATTACTTTTTATACATCAATAAAAATTCCAATGACAACATAACATAAAAATTAATTTTAAAGTTTTATACAAATTTTAAAATAAGACGCATTTCATGTTGAACAAATAAGTAAAAACAGTTGCTATTTAACTACTTAAATTAATAAAAATCTATTATACTTAATATATCTACCCTATAGCTCAATTATCCAACGTCACAGCGTAATGAAACTTTTAATAATCTTTTGTGCCTTAGTAATACCACGAACTCTAAGCTTCGATAAAATGTGGTAATACTATGTTATAGTGTGAACTATCAAACCAGGTTAGTGCAATTGTTATTAAATGTGTTGTTATATCAATTATTTTGCTAATCAAAGTCTATAAATTTACATATTAACTAAGGCGCGTTCTCGAGAACTAATATAGATAATTGTTTAGGCTGTGTATTACAAATAGATGATATAAGTTAAGTATTTGGACAAGATGCGATGCGTCATTAAAACTATAAAAATTAAAATGCTTATTTTGATATTTTATAAAATTTTTAAACTCCTTCATTATATCAAAATAAATTGAAATTTTCAGTATCGCCTGTAAAGAGCACCTATCTACGTCATCAGCACCCACCCACCCTCGTGCATCTACTTATTAAGTACATTATTAAATTCTGAAAACTCACTGTTAATTCAATTAATTGAAAACTGTTGTTGTTTGTAATAATTAAGTTGCACTAACACAAAAGTCTTCTTTCATCTTGTTCCTTGTCAACTCACAAAAATCAGTATTCATTTAATGTTTATTATTCATTTAAATGTTACTTTAAGTCGGCAGCGAACTGAATTATTTTGAATCAAAATATTTAATCAAATTTAGATAAGTAATCCAATTTATATACGCATCACACAATTTTATGGAAAGTAGCATCGGTTTTGACATATACACATATTTAAATAGTAATTTATAATATTTCATATATAATATCCGTTACCCCAGACCAAAAGAATAAGAATACGAGCGTATAGAACAACAAAAGTGAAGCCATAACACAGTGAACGTCAGTGTATTTCTCAGATTATTGCTGCAGTCCTCAATCCATACGCTAAGTCTACAATAAGAATACCATTTCAGGCCTCAATCACAGTTCTTCACGCTCTCTTTCAGTCTTTAAGTCCGAGTCACTTCTCTGCGCATCGGTATATTACTACCGTTCGGATAATATGCAATTGAATACCTTTTAGCCTCGAACAAAGAGCATGTAATTTGAAATCATAATAATATATCTAAGCATAAAACACTGCAACTAAAACAAAGCATTAAAACTATAGCTAGGTATTATAAGTGTATTGAGATCTACACCAATCTTTTTTACATACAGCTCCTTCTAGGCTTAAAGGCGTCAGATATTCATCACATTACATTCTATTTCAATGCATGCATATTCAAGTAAATGTTTACATTATTCATGTTTATTAGATGTAGTTAACTCTTAGAGACATGTTCTAACTAAGTCAAAACGTAAATGTTTAGTATAACAATAATAGTACCAGATAAAAACGTGGTTCACAAGCATTATTTATTTGAAAGTTTCATTGATTTTATTTGAACAAAAATATATTTTTTAAATATTTAATTATTTAGATATTCAAATCGTTAAGTCGCACAATATCTTTATAATATTTTAAGCATTCGAATTTCATTGTGCATATTATTTAATTCTAATAAGATCACTACAAGATAAATTGTCTAGAGCTACGACTTATTACCTGTTGATACAAAATCAGAAAATAAATTAAAAAAATTATGTTTATTAGGAATCCATTTAAGATTTTTCAATCTTATTAATCTCTAATTTAAGATCACATAATAATAAAAGTCAATAATTTTAGCCTTGCAATAAAGTTGAAATAATGTTTGTCATCCACGCATTATAGACTTAAATAACTGTAAGACTAGAATATATAATTTACATAAAATTTACTACTCAGTCCTGAGTCAGTTCGCTGCCTTTTATGTGTTTATCACTAAGTAGACTTCTTTCAATCTCAATGTAAATATTGATTACTGTTCGCCTACTTTAATACTACTATGATAATATTCACTTTTATTATAAATATTAATAATAAAGTTAACACCAAATGTGTTTTGTTAAATTACCCTATAATAGTAATTATCAAAATTTTTGACACGATAATTTTTCGATCTGATGAATTACCTACATGAGATAGAATGTTACTACTGTAGGTACAGGCTGGAACAAATGCATGGAAGAGAAGTACCTTAAATATTGAAGTTATCAAGTTATACTCAAAGGAAACATTCCTTTATTTAAAAAAATAATAGTAACTGCATTTATTTATTTTTTTAAAAAGCTTGTGTGAACCAATTAAAAATGTATACTTACATATAATAAAATTGTAACTAAGTCGAATCTGTACATTTAATATTTTTTGTAAAATCTAATTGAAATAGTCATTATTATCGATACAGAGTCCGATTCTATAGTTTTTAGAATTTTTGTCTGTCTGTCTGTCTGTCTGCTACCGCATCACAAGAAAACCACTGGACATATTTTGATGAAATTTGGTATGATGATAGCTGGTTATCCGGGTCAACATATAGAATGCTTTTTACCGCGGGAAAATATCTCATTTCTGAGAAAAAATACAAAAACTGTATTGTAAGAGTATACTAATATGTAAAACCAAATAATTTGGTTTTCGATCATCTGGACGCGGGTGGAGCCGCGTGCAATGCTAGTACAGTGTATAGTGTATTTAATGACCTTTTTTATATAAAACCTTTGTTGATGTTGATTCAATGATAATTACTATAAATGGGGAAGATTTCTCAAAAGAAGGGCGCCACACGTATTGCCTATATACATTCGTCTGAGGTTAAGCAATTTATTATGATATCTCTTTTGTACATAGTCTTTAACTTCTATTGTGTTCGCATCGCACCTGCGCAATGTATTGTACCTGAAAGTTAGACCAGCAGAAGGAAGAACTAATAAGGAAAGGTGCGGATGCACCACAACATTGTGGTGGTTCCGACTGACTGATGGATCAACACACAGCATTAACCGATGATCGTAGAAACGTGAAATTTTGAAGGACGTATTTCTTATGATATAGGCATCCGAGAAAAAGGAAGTTTTCCGAAATCCATCCCCTAAGTGGGAAAATAGGGGATTGAAGATTGTATGAAACTCTGTCATTCTCAATGTGAAATACACAGAAAGATGTGTTTAGTAGTGATAAAAAATAAGAAACATATTTATTTAATTTTTTTCGAAATTCATTCCTTAATGGGGTAAAAGAGGATAATACAAAAAAATATTTATGGTCAGAATCATTTGAAACTTATATTATGCTCTTCAATACATTTTTTTTTTATGGGAATAAGGGGGCAAACGGGCAGGAGGCTCACCTGATGGAAGGTGATCACCGCCGCCCATGGACATCTGCAACACCGCAGGGCTTGCAGATGCGTTGCCGGCCTTTAAGAAAGGAATACGCTCAATTAGATAAATACGTGTTTTAGCATTTTTCAAAATTCAATCCCATTAAAGGGGGTAAAATGGGTGATGAAAGTTTGTATGAAACTCTGTAAAAAAGTACTAAAAAAACACCTGTAGACGATTTAAGAGTTTTAAAGTCACTTTCCTTAAAATGATGTCCACATAGCCTTAAATATGAATATTGTAATAAGTTTTTGTCTTTTGGGAATAAATGATATCCATTTTCTTTGCATCCTGGCACTGTACGTACAATTTATCATTTTAAATAAATTTTAAATAAAATAAAAAAGAATCCATCCACGCTATAGGGCTTTACAATATACTGAGGGCAATAGTGATCACGACATCTGGCGGGAGATAAAGGCAAAATTCTTGCCCATTCCAAAGAAATATTAAAAAGCTTTCACACTTAAATGTTTGTTCATTTGTTATAACAAATACAAATAGGAAAATAGAAAAAAAAAACAAAATATTTATACTTATTGTTTTTGCTCTATCACAAAAACGTAGCCAGTAGCAACTGGTTCACATGTAATAAAAGTTCTCTATGATAGTCGCTGCTATTATTAAAAGCCTTAATTCGATAAGTTTTCCTTACGGTTTTGAACTTAATACGTAGAAAAGTCAACCTAATTATGTTTGTAAACTGAAAAAAAAACAGTAAAAATTACAAAGCGTTTGAACTTTTATATACTTATTTTATAACATCATGCTTATTAATTAGCTAGCATCGTTGATGATTTAAAAATGAAAAATTATTATAATCGTAACTACTAACTTGCTCTCAGGGGTCACTGAGAACAATTTACTGTGATGAGTATTCAGAGTGAGAAATAACGGATAAATTAGCTTTATAATGCGAAAGAATTGTTAAAATTGGTTTAGTCTAGATCACAAGTTGAAAATGGTGAAGATTAGAGATAAAGCTCCTAAAAATATGTGCGATAGCTTATTGGATCCGGAAAGGCGTCTATAAAAATGTAAATGTAAGAAAATGTAAAAAATTGCAAAGTTCAGAAACCATTATTAAGAAATTTAAAAAAGATCCTTACAGAGGAGGAAATTTCCAAGAAAAAGTCCCAACTCCCGATACTCTCTAGCTCCAAGCGGCCGATGACGTGTGCGCGCGGCCTCTAAAGTACATAATGTAAAATATTTTGTACAGTATCAAATATCAATTTGAAAATTTTAATAAATTATGGTGTATTGTAAACACTTCAAAGAATTTTTATGGTCCAGTTGGAAAAAAAAAATTAGTTATTTTTTCCGAAAAGTAAAGCGATTGCTAATTACTTAACTAAATTTTGTTGGACCTTCGTTGTCAATGAAAACAAGAAAAATTTCAATAATTGGTCTTCGAATTGTTATTACTAGCGACTCACCCTCGCTCCACTCGGGTTCGTCTCTAGTTAAGTTTTAACGTTTAGATCAGGGATGAGATATTTTCCAGCAGTAAATAGTATCCCATATATTGACTCGGATAACCAGCTATCATACCAAATTTCATTAAAATCTATTCAGTGGTTTTCTCGTGATGCGTTCCCAGACAGACAAAAATTCGAAAAACAATAGATTCGAATTCAGATTCGACTCAGAATTTTATTATAATATGTATAGGTACAGATAGGCAACAAAACAAACGAGGTTCAACAATGGTTATGCATATGATGATAAGACAAGATCGATTATAATCATTTATTAATTCATATTTTAATCGTCACAAATTCTGATCGATGTCTTAGTTCCTAACACGAAAATTGACAAGAAATTTACAATATTATTTTTCATATAAAAATACAATATGTGGAATTATATTGCAACTTACATTTCTTTAGCAAATTAATTAAAGTTATTTGATATAGATTCAAATCTAATAAAAGCACCTATTTTCTTTAAGAACAAAATTAAACTATAGATACAATTAAAAATAAGCACAGATAAACAAATATTAACAAAATTAATAAGTAGGTATATAAGTAAAGATATAATTATGATAATAATTGAACAATATGTTATTGAAATTGGAATAAATAAAGGAATAATAAATTAATAAACATTTAAAAAGAACGCAAAGAGATCTCGCGGTCATAGGTTGCCCAAAAAAAAATATTTCGATTTTGGCAAAACATACAAAATGTCTACTTAATAGTTTAAAACATAAAAAATATTTTTAAGCGAGGCACACTAAACACATTTGATTGATGATGACATATTGCGAACTTAAATGCGCTTAAGTTGGTCTCTTGAAATTGCACAGGTACTATCGCGTGCAATATTTTATTGAGTTATATTTTAGTTTAATTAATTTCTTTAGAAATTACAATATTATCTGATATTAGAATATCAATTGCTACGCATTATCATGATAATCATCCTATGAGCCCGTCATGAAAGGGCACGAGGATGATGATACAAAGTAGAAATATGGCCGAATTTTACAGATATCGAAAATTTTAAATTTACCTATTTTTCCGTAAATTTTATTCTATTTTATTTTTCCAGTTCAATTACACATTTGCTTTATGAATTAAGCGTCACCGTAGCTTTTATTAATTATTTAGGTTTCACTCAATGTGATTAGTGTGCTTCACTTTACGATACAATTTTTTATTATGGCAAATTTTGGTTAGCATCATGAGCAAATTTAAAAATTAAAATTGTGTATCTTTATATATATATATATATATATATATATATATATATATATATATAATTTTTCTAATAGACACCACAAAGAAAATCAACAACAAGTAATTTTTCTAAGTATGATTTTCTTTCGATAAAAAATTAACTTCATTTACCATACTTTTATATGTTTGGTTAAAATGATAAAATACACGTTATATATTTTAAAAGATTGGATTAAATATGATATATAATCACAATTTATATCTTACTTTATTTCTAACACCATAACAATCAATTGTAATTGTAAAAATTTAAACAGTTAATTTAAAAAGTATATTCACAACAGTTAAATATCATAAAAGGTACATACATATAACTCGTTATATTTTTGTAGATTGAACATTATTAATTTAATCCACCAAATTATAAGTATAGGAAGTATTTCGGAGGTCTCGATGTTTGTTAAGTATACTACTATATGCACAAAACACGTCTTGTAAAATGACGTTACATTGACTAAATTATAATAAATAATGGCTAACACTTAACACATCATACACAAAAAATTGAACTAAGCAAAAAAAAAATGAACTAAGCAAAAATTGTGAATTCATAGATATCACTCTTCATTTTAGGAACATAAAATTAACAAATCTGTGATTTAATGTAAACTCACAAAAGGCACAAGGCACGGTTATATTACATTGTCGTTAAGTATAATCAGGCGGGGCACTGTCTCAGAAACTCTGAATCAAAGTATATAATAGTTACGGTCATATCGTCCCGAAACATGCGGCTAACGTCTGGGGACAAGCTCAACAGGTGAGCCAGCCTCGAATGATCCACACCATATTCCGTCCCACCAATGGCATGCCTTATTAAATGAGTTGCAGCGTTCCTATCTTTAGGTTTAATTTTCAAACTCTCCTTTCTATGCAACAAAAGATCATTTATATCACCAAGTTGAATATTTTTCTTTGGTAGCTTGAGTGGATTAAAAAATACTTTGCCCTTCATGTGTTCTCCGATTAGTTTAACAGCCTGTATCGGCGTCATCATATCCCATAAGCCATCTGAGGCAATAATTAAGAACTTATCCTTTGGTGTTAATCTATGATAAAAGATGTCTGGTTTGGCAGTGAGGTAAGGTGGGGTGTAATAATTGGCCGGTATGGCTTTCTGACCAATTATTGGCACGACCACGTCGGTTAATACTCCAGTTTTCCATTTGTATCTATAGTCACCCATACTGCGTAAAGGTGCTAATTCGCCGAGAAGTCGGTCCCTTCGAATAACAGTTTTCCGCTCCTCGTCAGGATGCTCATTCCAAATACGCTTGAGCTCGTCAAAATTTTCTGTATTATGTTCTTTAGTAATTTTTTTAGCCGTCCATTCATTTTCTTCAGTCATAGTGCCTAGAACGGCATTACAGTCGCCCACATTAGCAACATACATATGAGGACCATCTATATAAGAAAAGCAAACAACTGCGCCCGATAATGCCACCGACAATGTCTTTGGATTAACAGTACCATTTGTATTATAATAATCTAACACTTCTCGTGACAAATCATTATCTAATTGTAAAATTCCATTCTCTAAAGATGCTTGAATATCAACATCATTGTTTGCTTTTTCTGAAAGTTTCTTTAAGAAACAGTTAAAACTATCGTCATAGATCTGTTTTAAATCTTGGACAATTTCAGCCTAAAAATATAAAATATGGCATTATTGTTTTTTATTTTGTCTTTACATTTCACTATTGTTATTAGAATTTGACACTGTTGTGATACTCACTCTATCATTGTAAGTTTCTATTAGTAATTCACGAGGTTCATCACTCATGTATTTTTGTAATTGATTTAGAGGTAAAAGTGCGGCAGCTATGTATTTAAAAAGTCGTTTTGATATTACTTGAGCACAAGCCGGTCCACCATGACCATCAAAAACTCCCATAAGAAATCCTGTAAAGAAATATATTTTTGAACTTAGAAGATTTTAGTGATATGACCAAGTTAACATGAACATATACAAAGAAATCACATTTACTACCTACATTAAAAGCAATACAACATAATACTATGAATTAATGCTATAATATATCATCACAAACATTTGTAATTACACATAATATATTGGTTCTTGCTTTATTGCTCACCATGCTAGATTTTTTAAACATAGTAAAATGATATTGGATTAAATAATAAATGTCAACACATTATCAAAAAATATAAATCAAAACAGGAAAAAGTTATTTACTAAACACATATCTACAATGTGTTTAAAAATTAAAATATACAATCTTAATGTGAACTTTAACAAAATGGGACACCAAATGTTGTGATGTTAGCATACCTCTCTTAACTGACCACTGAAGAAAATGAGATCTCACCATACTCTTATCTACCAGCGTTTCCTATCTTTCATCTCTTTTAAAAACATCTCTACAATACCATGCACTTATTCTGAAATTTGTTCATCCAAACTTTACATGCTGACTTTTGTAGACATAATTCTCATTATTCTATGCACATCAACACAATGTAGGGATATTTCGTTTAATTATGATTGAAAAGAAACTACAAAGTATTTCTTAAGCATCCTAATTTGAAAATACGCAGTATTTTATACCCTAACAGGAAATGAAATAAAAATCTAAGGTTTAATTTTTAAAGGATTATTTTAGTAAAAATAAACAAAAGTTATAACTGTACTAAAGTAAGACTTACTGTGTTTGGTGATTAAAGAACGAAACCAAATTGAATGAAATATTAAATTTCGTATAAAGAAAAGAAAATGATAATCTGTAAAAGCACCTCGGACATTTAAAACGCATCTGCAACGTTTATTCATGCTCAAAATGAGGTTATCAATATCTTCTTGTGGGATAAGGTCCCAGACTCGACAAAGATGCATGAAATTGCACTGTCAGTCATCAGATTTTCTGGAAAATTACATAAAGTCCTTCGTTGAAGCATATCCCACGCATGCTCAATCAGATTTAAATCTGGGGATTGCGAGAGCCAGTCCAGGGTCGCAACATTACGTTGATGTATCCACTGATTTACCGCTCGAACCGTATGTGGGCGGGCATTATCATGCATAAGCATACAATCTTGACCCATTTACAGCCGGTGTGGTCGAACTAAAGGTGCCAGCACCTCATCCTGGTATTTTGCAGCAGTTAAGTTGCCGTGTATCAAAACGAGGTCAGTTCTTATCTTTCTTTACGCCCCCGCTTCCAGCATGCTCTCAACAATTACTCTTTTTAGGGTTCCGTACCCAAAGGTTAAAACGGGACCCCATTACTAAGACTCCGCTGTCCGTCCGTCTGTCATCAGGCTGTATCTGATGAACCGTGATAGTTAGACAATTTCACAGATGATGTATTTCTGTTACCGCTATAACAACAAATACTAAAAAAACAGAATAAAATAAATATTAAAGGGGGGCGAACGTGATTTTTTTGCTCGTGTTTACTCAATATTGATAACGGCAGCAGGTAACGCTTAAAAATATATTCACAGAATATTTAGTTATATATTCACTTTAAATATAAATAATTAAATTAAAATAAAACAAATATTTAAGGGGGGCTCCCATACAACAAACGGGATTTTTTGTTTTGCTAATTTTTGCTCGATATCTATACTAATATTATAAATAGGTAAAGTTTGTGATCTTGTGAGTTTGTGACGTTGTAGGGGGTAATCTCTGGATCTACTTAACTGATTTTCAAAATTCTTTTACCCATAGAAAGCCACGTTCTGTCTAATGAAGCTTAATTGGCTATATTTATATATATATATATATATATATATATATATATATATATATATATATTAATGGCTATATTAACCCGAAAAATGAAAAGGCTTTTTCGTGGTAGTCGGATTTGCAAAGTAATTCGGAGAAAAAACAGTCGAACGAAAAAGTTTCTTACGAACGCTGCCTTAACGATGAGAGATATATGATTATATTCTAGAGAAAAGTTGTTGAGCTTAATAATGCCTACAAAAAAGTCAGCGACAGCATATGTCTAAATTTTATATTTAAGTCACAAAAAGTAGTTTTTTATATTAAAAAAATAATTTTAATCGGTAGGTCATGTTTATTGGTCATATTATCAACAATTATGAATTCTTATCAAAATAAGTAAATTTATCGTCTAAAATATTTAAAACGAAAGACTTTTGCCTTTTACTGCAATATAATTTGGACAAATGGTTAAAGAGATAATACAACATATTCGTAGGTATGGACGAACCCGAGCGAGCTGTTTGTCTGTTTTTCCGTTTGTACGGGCTAATCTCCGAATCTGTTGGACCGATTTAAATAAAATTTTGCATGGTGGTACCTTATATCCTCGGGCAACATCTTAGGTACATTTCATTCCGGAAAATTAAAGAGTTTCCGTGAGATAGTTAAAAAACTATGGTAACTTATACAGCTTATTCACAACAACTTATGCACCTAATTTAGTAAAATTTGGCATGCTGATACTTTATATTGCGGGTCAAACAACAGATTACTTTTCATCCCGGAAAAATGAACGGTTCCCGTGGGATAGATCTGTTTGTGCTTTTCTAGAGCCGAACCCGAGCGAAGCGATGGTGAGCCGCTAGTTATATATATAACGGTACGGAACCCTTCGTGTGTGAGTCCGACTCGCACTAGACCGGTTTTTTGCTTAAATGTCGGCGTTCCATGGTATAGAAAAAATCACTAGTATTTGTGTGTACACAGGAAAGAAAATGTATATATGTTATAAAGTTTATTAAAATTTCGCCGCTTCTGCCATTCTTTTTTTATTTGAATTTAGAACACAGAAAATAAATAACCAGGAACAAATTGACGATTAAATCTTTTAGAAATGGCCAGCACTTTTAAAGTTACTCTAATAAACATGACATATCCCTAGACAGTGTTGATGTACGTATTTTACTCATCACAAAAATATATTATATACATAATACATAGATTATTTTTATGTATTCATAGTATATTTTGCATTTCATTACGTAAAAAGCTATATATATATATATATATATATATATATATATATATATATATATATATATATATTTTTTCTTATTATTTTAGGAAATTATATATATCATAAAAACATAACATGTTAATGAGAAAATTTAAACTCAAACTTCAAGAATGATTGATTAAATTAGCTTATTTCTTTTAACTAGTACAGGTAGTATTTACAAAATATTAGCAAAAACTGTATTTTTATTACCTTTATTTAATGCATGATGATAATACATGATGCAATAAAGAAATGATGTATGATACATCATTTCATATATAATTACTTGGAATTTTTTCAATGACATATTCTTATTGTCTTTAGCTATATATAATACCTATTCCATCATATTTATATAATTATTATAATATTAAAAGCTGAACATGAAATTATAATCATGTATTATAATAATTGAATAATATACTTTGATTCAATACCTGGGGTCATCTTGCATTGTGCTTCACATCTAGTATCTTCAATTGGGTTGTTTGATGCCAATTGATTGGAATCATAAGACTTAACTGAACCATAAGAAAAGTCCTTATTGTATTCATTTTTACGTAATTCAGCAGTGACCTAAAAGTATACGATTTTAAGGTTTTAGTAAGCCATTACTTTTTTAAAGAAAGGGTATTGCAGAATCAACATATGAAAAATACATCAGGGTCTAATGAAGAGTTCTGACCTTATATTTATCTTATATCTTTAAACAAGCAATTCTTGTATATATATATAGTACCTGGGTCACCGAGCTCCGCTCGGAGTTTTTCGTTAAAAAGTACAATTTTCTTTAAAAAAACAAAAGTAAAAATTTTGTATGCGACCGAGATTCGAACCTGAACACCTGTGATTGTTGATCTTAAATCTTGGCCCCTTAACCACAATGCTCATTCCCGAGCGTGCAAATTACCGACCATATTTTGCGTGGAATAACAAAAGAAAACTGCATGAAAACTCGAAAACACGCGTTTTCTCAGACATAAAACTAATTTAGATCGATTTATCGCCCCCGAAACCCCGTGTATACTAAATTTCATGTCAATCAAATAATTTTTTGGGATAGAAAGATTGCCTGTGTATAAATTAGGCATTATTCATCTTTTTTAGACTATTATAAAATACATATGACAGTTATGTTTCTAATACATATATTATATAAATAAGCGGCCAGTATTATTACTACAGGCCCCCAATCCAAATAATTCTTATTTTATAGTTATGTATCTGTTCTTTGTATCATTGTTTCTGTCAATATACACTTTTTTATAAGGATTTTATTTTTTGTTTGTTCCACCGATACAACTTTTCTGTAATTTTTCTATATAATATTTATCTTTCTAGCAAATGAATAAACTGTATTTTTGTAGGTGTTACTTTAGGATTGGGTTTACACCCAAAAAATAAAGTTTTTAATGGAGCGAAAATTCTAGAAAAAATGTATAATGTGTAGTTCATAGACTATATTTAGTCTCAATCTCAACAAGATATCTCGAGTAGTTTCGAAAAAAATCAATGTAATATTAGGGGTGGTCACCTCCATTACTCCCTTATTAAAGGGGGTTACAAGCCAGAATGTAAATGGGAAGTTGTTTTAGATAAAGGGCAATAAATTTAATCTATGAACTCTTCATTAGATGCTGGTTCAGTTATCATATGCTTATTCTGCAAGATCTTTTAAAATCCTTACAATTAATTAAAAAACTTAAGATGTACCTAACCTTATAATTATCTCAGAAAATAGCTATTATTACATTTTAAAAAAACTTTTTAACAAAAAAATAAAAACCGACTTCAAACAAAAGCACTAAAAAGTAAAAATAACTGATTGGTAGTTTTCATTTACTATACATACCTAATCAAATATGTTCGAAGTCGGTGTGCTTTGCTTTGTATGGGCTGGCACCGATTTCGAAAATATTTGATTAAATATGTATTTAATAGGTAGGCTTTAATTACTTAGCCAAAGCACACCGGCTTCGAAAATATTTGATTAGGTATGTATAGTAAATGAAAACTACCAATCAGTTATTTTTTACTTTTTAGTGCTTTTGTTTGAAGTCGGTTTTTATTTTTTTGTTAAAAAGTTTTTTTAAAATGTAATAATAGCTATTTTCTGAGATAATTATAAGATAATTTCACAAAACCTCTTAGTATTTCATGAATATTTTTACATTTAAGTTTACTTTACTCCGACTTACTTCTTGGGGTGATAAAAGAACTTCAACGCCGTCTTTCTGTACTTCACCTCTAGCATGTGAAGAGTGAAAGGAACGAGATGATATGGGAATATAACCAAATAGAGATCGGCTGTCTGATACGTAACTGCTATAACATTTGTACAATAATTTTTGTTTTAAATTATTATCAAGTTTTAAATATGTGTTTATAACAACATTGATGATAGAATAATTCATATTTAAACCGGGAATAAACCGGGCATGTTACGCAATCACCAAGTATTTGAATTCTTTAATTTGGTTGTATGGTTTGAACACTCGTTCACAAAAATAAATATAATTGATAATGACTAAATATTTCTGCACTTTACTTTTCAGTCATTTTTATATTTATTCACGACTACAAATAATAACAAAACTTTTTTTATAATTTATACTTTCATGTTTCAAATCATCTCGTCTATGATCATTTTTATTTTTTATGAATTAAGACAACCACAAACAACAGATTATACTTTATAGAACATAACATTAACAGATAATGTAGCTTTTAATTTTAGAGTATATTTTCATGACTCATAAAATATAGTATTGATGCAATTTTAAGAGGTAATTTTAAAATGAATGTTAAAATTTCAAATTCTACTAAATAAATAATGTTGCATCCGTTTTTATAAAAATTTCATGAAAATATGTTGGGACATTAACACACAACACCATCTAGTTCTATGGTATACTTGATTCTTGTGTTATGGATACCAGATAGTTGGTACACTACAATTATATAGCTTTAAATACATTCATATTATAAGTATAAACACCCATGACTGGAGTACAAACACTCGAGCGCAACACACAAATGAATGCCCTCAGCGGGACTCGAACACGTAACCGCTGGCACAGCAAGTAGGGCCACTACAAACTGAGCTAAAAGTGTCGTCAAATACACAAAATACATAATTACATTCTTCAATCAGAATTAGCAAATTTATATTTTGCAACCATATAGTATATACATATATAGGTCATAAAATTAATAAAGCGTGGACATGAACGAATTAGTGGCTAATTCGTTTATAGGCGTGGATAAAAGTTACACCTAACACTGTTGCTAAATAAAAACTAGATTTCTAAAGGGTACGGATACATTTAGCTTAGATTTCTCAGAGATCAGATATTTTCCTGCAGTAAACAGTATCCTATATGTTGACTCGGATAACCAGCCTATCATCATACAAAATTTCATCAAAATCTGTCCAATGGTTTTCCCGTGGGCCGTGATGCAATCACAGATATATGTAGTAGGGGAGCCCAAGACCGGATTTTGGGATTTACTCAAGCGCGGCAGATTAGTATAAGGAGGGATACCTTGCACTCTGTTGAATATCTCCACCATAATATATATAAAGCCGTGCGTCTACGGCAGCCGATCAAAATATTTAAAAAATGTTTTGATAAGGTAGGAATGCTTGAAACCGTCAGATTAAGGTGTGGTGGGCTGTAATTAATATTTAAAAAAGGACATAAAAAACGTGTTTGTGAACTTATGTACGCACGTCAGAAGTTATACTTCTTTGGCGTAACAGCACAAAAATATCTAAAGATTTCATCCCTTATGTCACAATTCTCTGTTTATAAAAGGCAAGGTATAATAATAAATAAGGTATATTACAATCATAGATTTATAGAATATCATTTATGGAAAGAATGTAACTTTATTTATTATTTGTCAGAACAACGGTTACCGTGGCAACGAATACAGTCCGAAAAGAAGTATACTTCTAAGTTATAAATAACTTCAAAAATATTCACAATTTCTTCAGTTGTTGTCTTTTGGGAACAAATGATATCCATCTTGGCACTGCACAATTTGTCATTTTAATTAAATTTTCAATGCGATGAAAAAAAAATCCATCCACGCCATAGAGCTTCCCAATATATTATAAACTGAGGATTATAGTTGTTGTGACATCTGGCGGTAGGCAAAGGCAAAATTCTTCCCCTTTCATATTATAATATGTTACATTTTACCTAAAGTATTTATACTGACTTTTTTTTCGAATAGTTTTATTATTTATTCTCTATTCACATTTATACAGTAATCACTAAACTAAAGAAATCTTAAAAGTACATAATATTTTTTTAACTACGTACTACAATCAATAAATGTTTATTACATGTCCAGAGCTAAATAGTGTGGCAATACAAAAAACAACCAGAATATGGCACTTGTATATAAAAAGAAAGAGAGCGCATGCGCAATGCGCATGTCGAATTCGTCATTCATCTTCGCTGTGGCCGACATTTCAGGATTATCTATCTTGATCTGTTAATTTTCTGCCTGCGAAACATAATATTTAGTACAAAATGCCGAACCAAGTGTTAACTATAGAGCCACAAAATGAACTCAAGTTCAAAGGTAAGTAATACTTGATTTGTACATATTAAACTGCAGCCGCCGCATTATATCTTGGGCAGTATAGGTCGTGTTAACTGCTGACAAATGGAGTTTCTATTTCCAGATATCGGCATTTTGTCAGGGTGCGGTTTTATGTATTTCACTTTCTTATTGTTAATATATGAAATACAAAGTATGATTTTATTGACAAATAAGTGTAATTATAAATGTAAAAATGTTAAACTACAATGGTTGTCGAAACGGGAAATGTGATCTATCTACCAATTAGATTCAAGTCTACCGTCTATCTAACATTTTTACTTATAGTAGGTAGTCGAAATCTACCGTATAGATAAACTGAATGTATTCTACATAAAACTGTATTTTAAAATTTCGTTTACCCTATAACATTAAATTTTTCATTATTTCAATGTTCATGCTATGACAGTTTGGTCACAACTCACATATGAATTAATATTAACTTTTCTTGTTCCTATCTGTTATTTTTATTAAAATATTTTATTTTTGATAATAAATGAGACTTTAAAATTTTCAATGAGATGAATTTCTAATTATATTTAGTTAGATACATTTAAAAAAAATACTTCAATTAAATGAATATAATTAATCTATGAGTTAACGTAAAGTTGGATTCAACCATTAACTTGGGAACTTAAGCATAATATAGTTCATTTAATGAACATCATATTACATTTGTACTGTGTAGTAGTAAAATCATAAAACTAACTTCATTATAATTCTTAAATATGTAATATAACAATAATTATGTAGTAAATTCTGAAGTAAAAGAATACAATATATTTTTTAACTGTTGACACATATGAAAACATGTTTTAAAATATTTATTTTTTTATGAATTGCATATGAGTATTAAATAAATTATTCCTTTTATATTATAATGATGAAATATATTTATATCATTCTTTTAAGCAAACCATGTCTGAGCATATAAATAATAATTTTAAATTTACATGTGTTTAGTTAGATTACATTACTTATAGACTTAGATTTATAAATTATAAAATAGGTTTTATATAAAGTTTAAGTAAAATAAAAATATTGAAAACCTTACCATATTACTTTTCTATAATTTGTGACTTATAAAAACAAAACTAAAGTAATAGATTTTGATGTAGGTAGTTAAAATTATGTGCTTAAATAAGTAATTGTAACACATTTATGTTTGGTACTCTGGTGTATAATCTGGTGTAGAAACCATGTCAACTTACTAATATTAATTACAATTAAAAGTTTTAAAATTGCTTTGTAGATTCCTTGACGGTATTAAAGTATAGTATTGTCAAACATATTTCATATACATGCAAAGTTTCTGAGATATGGTTACATAGCTAACTAAAGGACTAATATAGATGAAGTGTCATAGAACTAAACATCAAATCAAAATGTCAATATGTGCATGTATTAAGTTTTGTATACAGATAAATTAATTATTATCGATGAGTAGACTTACCTTAGGTTTAGATATATTCTCCTAAAAAAAATTTCATTATTTCCTTCATTTTTTTTTAATAAATGTAAGTTTAAGTTTAAAGTTTTAAGTTGTATAATCTCAGTATTATTTTAAAGAAACCTAAAATATAGATACTAGACTCATTACTTTTATTAGTAAATACATTTAAATCAAATATATACAATAATAAATTATTTATTTGGTTTATCTAAGTTGTTATAAATATATAAGACAGCAAAATTTAAAAGTAAATGTTAACAAATAAAAAAAAATTAAAATCCTTAACTAAAAATTAGAATTAGAACAATACAATATTTATATGATGATTATATCTTTTTGTCTCAGATATTTTTCTATGTACGTATTATTTTCCATGAAAGTGTGGATAAGTACTATGAAAAGAATATTACTTAAAATTACAAAATAATATTTGCTTAAAGTTACCAAATCAAAGCTCTATAAAGAATAATACCTATACCTACTATCTTATAAAGCTGAAATTTCTGAATTTTATAGTCTGTTTATTGAGAACGGATAAAAGCTATCTAATATCAAACCTTTAGGAATAGGTAAATGCTTTTGATTATGTAAAATTATGGCCTTTTCTTAATATGTGGTGGCAAATTAACAACTTTTCAACATACCAATTCTGTTACTACAAAGTAAAATAATTATTATATATGAGATATATGTAATTTATTAAAATTATAAGATATATGAAAGATAATGAGTAATTAACAAGCAAGTTATTCATTTTATCAACATCAGCTTTAATAGAAAGTCAGGATTTCTGTTATTGTTGAAAGTTTTTCGAGGCTTCCATGTTGTAACGATTATGAGATTTTATTCAATTAAGTCAGTTTGACTAAACTTTTAAATTAAGTAGTTCTCTTCTGTCTCAAAATAATGAAGACCAATCAGCCTTTTGGCAAAATGTAATTACATACAAGCCTCTATGATATGTTTGCATTATAATTAAATAATATAAGAATCTCATATAAAATATTAATATTATCATACGGCTTCTGCATTTGTAAAGTGGAAAATATATTAAATTTATTATTTATAATATTAATTACTTATATATTGGCTAACAATTAATATGCTTAAAGATATGGTCATTATTATTGATTATTTTAGTTGATTTTTCAGGATTGTTTGAGCTAGGCTACACAACCTACATGAAGCTCACAAACCCGTCAGAACATACTGTCTTGTTTAAGATCAAGACCACAGCCCCAAAGAAATATTGTGTTCGTCCCAATTCTGGGGTGCTCGAACCTAACTCCAAAGTTGACATAGCTAGTGAGTGAATGTTAATTATATTATTGCTGTATTAAAATTACTTTCATGAAATAAAAAAATGTATATTTGTAATATTTTTTGTTGCCTTGTTTTAAAATTTACAGTCACACCACAGGCTGTTCATGTGGATTCCAATGAAAAACATAAACATAAATTCATGGTTCAAAGTGTGATTGCCCCAGAAGGAAAGACTAATATAGATCAAGTGGTATGTTTATACTATATATACATTTATGAATGAGAAATGAATGTGCAAATGCATTTAACCTTGATATTAATATGTATATCAAAGTGAGGTTTCCGTTTACAATTTTTTTAATAACTTAATTGACTTCTATCATTTTCTAGTACAATTAAAGTTGTTTTTTTTTGACAATTTTGTTTTGAACACCGTTTTCAAGAAATTGAAACAAAAACATTTTATTACTATTTACATTTTTTATATTGATTGATGCAAACACTCAGCGTCTGACATCAATTATTGGCTACCCATTCGTTTTAAATAACTCTTTAAATGGCACTCTAACATTAATAAAAAAATGTGCTTCAAACCTACATGACAGCAAGGATGAATAATTTAATATCAACAATCCTTTGTATCCCATATCAGATCCAAAAATTATTCTTATAAACATATGTCACAAAAACTTTCTAAAACAGTTATATTTATTACCTAATATCATTTATATACTAACATTTTTATTCTATTTACAGTGGAAGGAAATTAGTCCTGATCAGTTAATGGACTACAAGCTGAAGTGTGTGTTCGAGACTCCAAGAGGAACAAGTCTTAATGTAAGAATTCTTTCTTTCTCTTTATTTTTTATCTTTTTATTTCTTTTTTTTTGATTCAAAGCACAATAAACGCTTCATTTTATAAATTACTATAATAATACCTACATTAAACCGGGATTTACACGGGAGTCTCTTGTAAATAGGAAATTGACTGAACAACAGGTGATTAAAATCGCAAATGCCAAATAAGGATAGAATAATTGCGTTGGATGTCGTTCAAATATTCAATAGCATACGATTGATAGTTATTTGAAAAGGCGGTTATTTTGTGTTCTGTCCTTCCGAGTTAGTCACTGCTTATTTACCTGCAGATCGTTTGTTTAAAAGAATTAAGTTAAATTATGACTTTGAAAAAAAAAAACATGTTTCTTGTTGTTTTGAAATGTGCACATTGTTTTCAGACAATTATCTTTATATAACGAATGTCCGAAAATATATAATATGAAAATTGCATGTCATTGAATATTGCCACCTGAATACTCACATGGAGTTGTTACGTTTCGGCATAAGTTTTTCCAATTATTGTTTAGATATTTCTCATAATAGAGAGAATTAGAGTTAAATGAAAAAAAATACGAACAACAAACGTACCTCAAAGAGTGGTACAGGTACAGATAGTATATAGAATCATATTAGTGGGTCACAAGCCCCAATCATGTTTATTTTTGATTGGTTGGTGTATAAAGCAAAAAGCAATAAAGATAATATGGTAAGTGCTATCACTATAATTTATTAATTATTTTTCTTGAATTGTTTATTTGCCTTGGAACTTTTTAGTGTCCGACAGCTGTTCTTTGCACCTTTATCAGCAATTGCGTTGCAGAAAACCCAATAGAATATTAGTCAGGGTGTTGAAAAAACTTATTATTTTTATATTGCAGCCAAGAAAACGGGACAATGAGTACACACATTACTATTATGACTTATATTTTTTCTTCAAAGACACACGCGGAACGTGCCAAGGAAATAGGCCCACTCGTTTCTTCCTTCGTTTCAATCAGTACATTTAATAGCTCAAAATATTTAACAAGATCGAATGTAATACGTTTGGACATTACATGTGGCCAACCAGCTACGTAGTTGTAGTAAATGCTATTGTGCGAAAACGGTGTCTATTGTGTTTATAAATAGCTATTTGACGCAAGAAACTCTTGAATTCAACGTCTTCTAACTTCTGGACGCGAAGGTGCGCCCCGACGTTATCACTCGATGTCTCGACACGAGCCTCAAATTTTTCGCCGCTTTCGACTCTTCGTCTACAAGAAAGTCTTGTTTTCTCGTCAGGTCATTACCAACACTAGAAAATATTAGACGGTCATATCAAGAAGACGTCAAAATATATGGCAACGGATCTCAACATTCTATCAGTGTGTAGAACATTTTGCAATATTTGATTGTTTTGAACTGTTTATAAAACTAGTTTATCACTTACCGTTGTATAATTACCGTTGTATAGTATATAGCCCAAAATGCAATCTTTAAAATTGTGTATCTTTTAATTTTAAATTCTATTAGTAATAAATACCTTTAATTAAAAGATAGATTGGCTCCAAAATGATTTAAATATAAATTTTTCACCACCAGAGGTGGTTTTTCTTATTTCTTGAACATCACCCATGAGATGTATGTATTCATTAAAAAACCAATATACCCAAAATAAAGTACCTGTACCGTAAAGCACCTGTTCTGCTCAACAGTTTGAAGATGATGACGTAGTCATTTGCGGTTTCAGTCAACTTAAATGGGGATAGCAGTGCGGCTCTGTGAGCCGATTTGGTAAGCGAGTAATCCTTAGCGAAAAAAGACCCGTGTAAATCCCTTATTATACTCGTATACCATTAATAAAGACGATAAAACCCTATTATTTAATTCAAATTGTTTTTATCGATAATAATATACAATGAATATGTACATGTTAATGTTAACCCTTTAAACGCTGTCATATAATTAATATTCGAGATTCTCTTTATGTATACTATGTTTAAACGAAATGAACTGCTGAAGTATTTAAATATTATATAACTTACATTCTAAAATGTTTAACCGAGCACTAGTTAAACCAAACGTTTTCTAGTAAATTTGAAAAGTTTTTACTGTTGAGAGCTTGACTGTCCGACTATATTAATTAGAACATACTTTTTACGTTACATCTATGTTTAAAAGCACAGAGTATAGTTTTATATTTGCATTATGACGCACGGCGTTTGAATGGTTAACATGTTCGACGAACATGTCACTACTAGTGACATTGATTGTAATTCAACTGACAATATTATGAAAGGATGCTGGAGATAATGTCGCGCAGAATGAAATCTCCAAGAAGCGAGTAGCAGTCGCCGCAACGGAAGATTCAAAGTCACTTTCAAAGGTGCGCAATGAAAAAATACATTCTCAATAATCATTTTAAAAACTAACTTATAAAATTAATTTAACAAAACAATTGGAGCTTATAAACACTAAGTAGTGCTTGTGCGCTTTTTCGAGTTTTATTTGCTCGATTAATCGTTTATAATGCCGAAGTTGTTCAATCATTTTATGTACATCGGACTAAATTTACATTTCTCGATAGTGGAAACCATTTACCTACATTATAATATTTACTCGGACATCAATCGTTCTCACTTAAAGAATTAGAATATAGGTACGAGCCGGAGTTACTTAGAGATTATAGGCGCCATTAGACTTCCAACCGGTCTCGATTAAAGTAAACGAGTAACGAGTTTTCGTGAATCAATTGAAGTTATCGAAATGTACCTATATAAATTTTAAGACTGTAACCAATGTAACAAAAATAGCGTATAACATTTATTTCACTTTCTTTGCATTATAATTTTTTAACAAAGTATTTCCGACTCGTCCCAATGTACCACATTGTATTTGACTCCCTACATAGCATGGATTGATATCCAGTAATGTCGACGAGTTAAAGTGATTGCAGTATGTTTATAATAATTAGTGAAATGTTCGAAACAACTTAAAGTAAGTCCAAGCTTGGCATGTTACGTGTATATTCCAGGATGCTGTAGAAGGTCTTCAGAATGAAGCTAAGAGGAAGAATGATGACCTCACTTCAGGATCTTTAAATGCCAAAACGGTATTCCCACTTCTTACCTAAAACTTATCGTAGAACATCTAGTGTTCGATAACCATAGTTTGTTTGTCGTACTTTGCCACTCATATTCGCATTAGATTTCCTCTAATACAACTAATAGAATATACTTGTTTATTTTCGAAATATATATTTCACGTGAATTATTGATTTAAAATTTTCATAAAAGTAGTAAAAGACAACAAAATAATATTAATCAAAGAATTCGTAGTAAATAATAAAATGCGAATAGTGATATTGAGATATTAAACACCTAGATATATCACTTAAACGCCAAAGTATACGAAGTAGTGTAGAAGCACACTCGGTAGATGCGTACGTATACGTTGCCTGTTAGAACTGCATGTTCGTTTTTATTTGCATCTACTTGACGTGCCAGTTGAGTACTATTTGTATTTTTTTATTTTTTATTTATATTTCCAGACTGCTTTCCCAAAATCTGAAAACCTCGAAAGCGATTTGCAAAAGGCGACGAATGAAGTCATTCATTTGAGGGAGGAGGAAAGCAAATTAAGACATGAAAATCTGCGATTAAAAGTGAGTCTTTATTGGGTTTCCTTTTACTATACATTTTCATTAGGTGGGGGTTAGTGAAATCGCTATGAACGTCGACTTTTGCCACTTGCTTACATTCTATGTAAGTTGTGGTCCCGATAGACGTTGTTTTGTTGTAGGTAACTATGACCAAATTTGTAAAATCTTCATTTTGAACATTTTTACAAGTTATGGCATACTGTTTGGTTTTATTAAACATGTTATTATATAATTGTGTAGCATGCCCCGTGGATGATGATTCCCAAAGTAATTAATGTAAACCGTGCACGTTCCTACTAACTATTCCGTATGCATGACCCTACCCTTAATATATTTGCAGTTTTGTATCTTATACAGTGATTGACAAAGTTCAAAAACATCGTAATAAACAACTTAGTTCTTATAATCCAGAAAGATGCTTTCAAATAAATAGACTTACAAATAATAATTTATAAAAGAAGTATTTTATTTACTTCTTTTTTATTATTTGGTGGAAATAACTTATTTCTAATAAAAATCTTATTTATATTTAGATGTTTTTCTTAAAAAAGTAGTTATAATAAATATATGAAGCTAAATGGAAGCTAAAAAAATATATGATATAACAATAATAATATATTATGTAAGTGAACACAAACACGTTACAGGGTGAGGGACGACCACAAACCTTTACATTCTGGCTTGGTTTTTTAATAAGCATTTACAAATTTGAACTGAAACAATATATTTCTATATATTATTTAGGCTTTGAATTATTATGTACATGTAATAGAACGCTTAAAATGAAAAAAAAACTAACTCTAAAACAAAATAATAATTTTATTGGAGGTAAAACCTACAATATATCTTCATAAAATTCTAAACAAATGACATAATTCTAAACAAACATATTTAAAAACATATTATTAGATATTATTAAATAATATTTGCCCGCTGCTGCTAATGCTCTGTTTATGAAAGACAATTGGGAGTATTAGAAGGATTATTTTCAGACTTAAAGAAGTCTGAAAATATGTAATTAAAAATTTGAACATGCCCTGCGAACTCTATTATTTACGGCGACATTTTAAAATATGCTTGTTATGTTATATGAAGCTGGCGTACAAAATGATATATTATTTTTACGAAGTTGAATCCTTCGTGAAAAGACGTTTCATTTTTGACTTCTTCAATTAATAAAATTTTCCGAAATTGCTTAGTTTAGATAAAAACTAAGCGAATGTTAAGGCCTAAAGGGATAAGTTGAAATTAAAATTTCCTTTTGAAAATACAATTTGAATTATGAAAACTTTAACAAAATCAATATTATAATTCAAAAATTTAAAAACTACTATCAAAAACCTCATGTTCAGTTTTTTTATCTCTTGTAAAATTTGTATCTTGCAAATTTCCACTTTTTGTACGCCACTTCTTATTTAGATGGTACTTCATGAACACCTGATTCGAACGAAGTCGCGGGTTCGAATCCTGCTATTGAACGTATGTTTGTTTTGTAGGCTGAAAACTTTTTTTTATTAACCCAAAATAAAGGCTGCGGGTCAGCTCTGGTGTTACTATAATGTAAAATATCAGTAAACCGTTTCACTCTATCCCACGGAACACGTGTCTTCCAGTACACAATGTCTATATCGCTCCAGGCCATTATTTACTTTTAAACCTTGCCAATCTGAAAATATTACATATTGTATATTACGTATTGTATTATATGGATGCGAATTTTTTAATAACTAGGTTGTTCTGATCTGTAATAAAATGATTTATTACCGTACAACCAGATTACCATGACATCAAACATCAAAGTCGAATTTACTTCACTAGTCATCGTGCAGTGTGCTATTGAATGATATTAACTGTATTACGTAATCTATCGTCTCCTATATATACATTTTTACGCGTTCGCTAGCTATTATCGATTATGTTGACTCATGGTAATGTTACTTACTGGTCATGCTACAGAAGTTCCATTATTTATTTACACTTCTACACTAATATTAGAAAGAGGTAAAGTTTGTATGATTATACGTAGAGTTATCTTTGCTGCTGATCCGATTCCGAAAACCCTTTCACTAATAGGAAGCTATGTTACCGCCAAGTGCTGTATATAGCTTACTTTTTATTTCGATAAAAATGTGCTTACTATCAGAAATAATAATAACATTAATTGAAGTCGGAAAAATTGCCGTTGAGTGTTTTTATCAGCTATTGTTACGTACGAATCCCAGCGAAGCGAGGTTAATCGCTAATATGGAAATACAACTATTTCAAATTCTCAAGACTACACTTTTTACTGATTTACATTGTGATACTCAACTTCGACAACTATCTAATAGTCCCTAGGCTGGCGAACGTGGGTTCGAGACCCACTCGTACCCAACATTTCATTGATCCTGTTCTGGAAAATTCCCATGAGTCATATAACAAAGACCGATATATAATTGGGTGTTATTAGAAAGCCATAGGGCCTTTTGCACTGCTTTCCGTGTACTTAGAAATACATATATTTAGACAGTATTTAAAAACATAACTTTGAAACTATGCTCTGCGATGGTTCAGTTTCAATATTGCTACGGCGAATTAGCTTATTTGAATTGTGTGCACATGTATGTATGTATATGGGTCAGTAGTTCACATTGAGAGGGAGCCAAATGAAATTTTACAACTAAAAACTTCTATTGCAATTTCTTCTAACAACTGTACATTATAGTAATATCTTTTTCTGTGAACGGATAATTTGCGGGAATGGAAATTGCAATAAGTTTTCCTTGAATCCTAAATAAATATAGCAAGGAGTAGCGGGCAAAGAATGTTGTTTGACCTACACTTACATATTTTTGAATGTTCATAGAACTATGTGTAGGAATGTGTTTGCGTAATTTTAACTTATTTAATTAAAAAATCCAAAGTACTCGTATTATAACAGTTTGTGTGGGTGTGTGTAAATAGCAGCGTTCGGTTCATGGATGATTGACTTACCACTAAGCTTAAAAATATGAAACCTTTTTTTACAAAAATAGTATCTATACATATAAATAAAATTGTAGTGTCTGTTCGTAATATCAAAATAACAGCTTTTTACTAAATGCATATAAAATAATATACAATACTTATAATAAGAAAAATATAATTTTTCATTTTTTTGTCTGTCTGTTTGTTTTGGATAGTCTCCGGAACGGCTGAACTGATTTTAACGGGACTTTCACTGGCAGATAACTGATGTTATACGGAGTAACTTGGGTTAATTTTAATTTGGAAAAAAATATATGGTACAGCTCAAAAAAAATTCAAGTGCACCTTCCTTAGGTGTGGGCCGAGGAAAGCGAGGGTAAGGCGCTTCTCATAAAAAAAGAATAAAATATAATTGCGACTTTCAAAACAATGAATTAATTGACTTAAAATCAATGAAAAAATATTTTGAAAAATTATTCGTAAAGTATCATCAAGCCGTTAATATTTTTAAATTGTTAATTGCAAAATTTACCTATATTGATGTTTTACGCATATAAAACAAAAAAGCTTAAATTTAAAATCTTGATCTTGTATTTATTTAAACCGATTAATATAAAAATGTTTATATTTTCACTTCAATTAAAGGGGCTAAAAATGTAAAAATGGATAATGATAGGTAATATTTCTTATATTATATTTAAACAATTTCCATATTATATTCAAATTTATGTTATGTTCATTTCTTATGTTGAGAGATTTGCATACTTATGAATTTTAAATAGATTGCTGACTTCCTTAAAATAATTCTTCATGCACTAGGTACTTATTAATTATGAATAGACCATGCTTAAATAAAAATAAAGTTTTATTATTTCAACATTGTCCATCTGATCGTAGGAAACAAATGTCGTCGCACAATAAAAATAATTAAAACGAACTAAACTTTGTAACATTTTCAGGCAAATATTGTGCAAATCAAAAAGAAAATTTAAATAAGTTACAAAATGAAAACAATTGATAATACAAACTTTCGCATATCCTTAATATCTATTGGAATTTTTAGAAAAAAAAAGCAGTCATGAGGACTGCCGACAGAAGTGAAAACTTAAAACTATAAACAAACAGTTGTTATTTTTGGATATTCACATTAATTGTTTGGCCTTTAATTAAGATCTGTAAATTAAAACTGTTTATTTTAATTTAAGGTTTACATTTATCTGGTTTTGACATCTATCGGCACTCTGAATGTTAGTGTTAACACGTCACGTGACCATGTCGATGTCGACTTAGATGAATTTACTCCCTATACAAACTTGCCTATAGAAGTTTTCACTTCAAAAACGATATTTACAAATATCATTAAAAATCTAGGACCACAAAGAGATTCAAAGTTATATTGTTTTATTAATAAACGTTATTACGCCACGACATTTTTATCAGTGTGATGAAATATTCATATTAGAAAGTATGTGAATGTGCACCGGTCATAAATTATTTATATAACATATTATATACCTACTATATAAATTTCTCTATGTGTGAAATATATATACGTTTTAGATAATATTCAGAACATTGTCTGCGCCCTTAGGACGAGTTCTAATGACAATCAAAAACGTGAACAAATTTCATATTAGGTATTACTATTTGGAAGAAAATGTTACGAATCCTATAGTACCTAAATAGTATGTAATGGTAATGGTGAAATGTGATTCTCGTTTATAAATTGCATTAAAACTCGATTAAGGTTCTACATACATACTAAAAAGATTTAGTTTCTTTCCCATGGTACCTTATACTAGACCTCGTACATGGTACCTTATCTATACAGATAAATAAAATTGAAGTGTCTGTTTTTAATGTCAAAATAACAGCGTTTTACTAAATGCATGTGAAATTATATACGGTAATTATAAAAAAAAGCAATTTTTAAAATGTTTTTCTGTCTGTCTGTTTGTTCCGGAGTCTCTGAAACGGTTGGACTGATTTTGACGGGACTTTCACGGAAGATAGCTGATGTTATAGGGAGTAACATAGGCTACTTTTATTTTAGAACCAGAATTAGGGTTCCGCTCCAAAAAATTAAAACGTACCTAGGGACGAACCGAACGAAGCGAGAGTGAATCGCTAGTAATAGATATACATATACTACAATGAATAAACAAATTGAAATGATTTCCTGGCACCAGTACAAAGACGCTCGAACGTTGCAGGAGGAGTTGCTCCGCTTGCACCAGACGGTGGGTGGGGAGGGTCGCGCCCGTCGTCACTCATACGGGCCGGAGAAGAATGAGCAGATCGCTCTCATGCCATGGATCGCCACAGCCATAGGCATGGCCCTCCTCGGCATCATCATAGGCAAGTTCCTTATGTAAACAATATAAGACCCGACGCCACCCACATGCCGCTGTTACACCACCAACGCGTCACACAAGGCAGCTTCGTTTTTCTTACTAGCGACTCGTAATACTAGTATTCGCGGCCCACAGTTTTGTAGGTTAGGCGACACTACCCTAATGTAACCTATCCCCCCCCTCGTCTCTCCCCCGTCCACTCCCCTCTTCATTTCCCCGCACACATTCTATATCCCCTCTAGCGATTGTGCGAACTCTGACTGCCTTTGTAAGTGTTTCTTAATGTTTAATGTTAAGATACGGATTGTTTCATGTTTTTTGTTCTGAATTACGATGTTAAGATGATTTTGTTTTTATTTTAAATATATATCTATACATATATCTCGCTCTTAGCTTTTATCGCGGAGATATTGCAAAAAGACATACAACTTTGTGTTTATCTTTTCTCAAAGTTTACTTCACTTATTTATAATGATATTAATTAATGTATCGTCTACTCTTGTAAATGTTTCATTACATGGTTATTACTTGTACTTGTTAATTTATAAGCGATTTGTGAGTGTGAGGTGCCGGCAGATGGGGGGTTGGGAGAGGCTCGTTTGTCTATTATCTCTGAATCTTTAATACATAAAAATCTCTTAGTCCAGAATGCATCTGAAAAAATTAAGGGGGTGAAAGTTTGTTTGGGAAAGCAACCTAGGGACGAACCAGAGCGAAGCGAGTCGCTAGTTATTCAAATAAAGCTCAAAGACAATACGTTGCCACAAAATTCTGCGTCCATAATGTACCAGTTGAAGCGCTTATTGCATTTAAATAAAATTTGAAATAATCACAATATACTACGTAGCATAGTAATTGTTGACGTTATTTCCTATACGACTGTTGATATTTATTTTAATAATTTCAAAAATGGTAAATTTTAGTTAACTTATTAGGAAAAGCATAGTCCGATTCGCAAATTTTAACAATCTTTGAACTTACTACAGTTACTACATTTAATGAAAATAAAGAACTTTTATAATAAATTAGGTTGTTTTATCGGAATGTCCATTACAAAATGATGACTATGATGGACTGACGAGCCTTTCCCAACTGAGATCTGTAGATGTCAATATGTCGCAGTCGTTTGAGATTTGCAACTGGAAGGGGCTTTAACAAATATTGTACTTCTTTTGCCTTGTGACAAACCATTACATGCAACAGCTTTGTATATCTCGTGCAGATAAAGAATGGTATTATAAATGGCGTCGGATCTATTCACTTCTCAAACAATCACAGTTTAACTCAACCCGCCAGTATAGACTAAAGGATAGCGGAATTTATTTATTATTTTATTTTATTTCATAACATAGTACAACAATTACTATATTGTGTTTTCAATAATATTTTCCATATAACATCTAAGAGTAAAATTTTACTATTAGATGTTATTATATGTATAATTTTAAAATAAAGTAACTACATACCACTTCCAATTTAATGTGTAAATGTATGACTATAAACATAACTGGCGAAATAAAGTCCATTTTTTATCTGCTATAATATACTCCATGTTATGTTATACCAACTAGTATGATTAATTATTAAGGTTTTTGTGTATATTCTCAAAAACACAATTTATTTTGTTAATAATAAAGCACTAAAGGCTGGATATTTTTCTCGTACTGTATGTGTTGTTTTAATATATTTGTATCTTTCAATCCTATTCTTTTCGTGTGCGTTCGTCGAGATCGCGGTTTTATCTTGTAATGAGACGAAGTAGTTATATTAAGTATTCAATATTTAAAGGTTATTAAAGGTTCTTTCTTTCTCTCCCAACGTTTTCACTCACTCTCTATGTAATTACATTTTTTCTTTGTATAGTTATAATCGATAAATTTAATTTGTTATTTTTTTTAAATTAAAATGTATAATTAAATATTTCAACATTCAGTTCTTTGTTTGTCGTGTATATTTAAATAAAATTGTCGTGTAAGTTTTATAAGGGATTTTGTTTATTTTATTTTATTGGGTTGATAAATAGTTTTAGAAAAAACGGTATTTGGCTGATACAAACCTTACGAGCTAGATCAGTGGTGTATTTTTTTTAAAAGCACGCAAACAGATTGTTAAAGGTTTCTTCAGTGAGTTCGCAGAAATATTGTATTTTAAGTGGTTACCATACAGAATACCTGAAACAAAAAACTGCCATAGTCAATATGCTCACGAAATTTTATCACACCTCATTGCAAATTAGCCCTCGTATTGCGTAGACGCCACGTACTTAGTTCCGACGACTCTCAAATGAATGCGACATTTCACAATTATATCAGCCAACCTGAACTATCAACACATTTGATTCTAATTTCTTCTTTAATGTATGTATATATATAATAAGTATGTGGATCGAGGCGTTTTATTTTTACAACGAAAATTTTTGTATGAGTTAATTTCAATAACTACCGACTTTTGAAATGAATATAGTTTCTTTTGTGATCTGGATTTAAATTTGTTAATTTAGTTAATGTTTCAACAATATTATATCGTATGATTATTTCGTATAAGTTGTAAAATTAATATATTTATTTGTTTTTATTATATCACAGATGTAGTTTGTTCGCAACAATACATTTGTACGTATTACAGTGTAAGCATTAGGTCTTGGTGTCGGTCTGCAGTGTGACGTTTAGATTTTTTACTGTAATATTTTTCTTCGATATGTATTGGAACTAGATCAATTGACATTGAGAGGAGTCGTCGTTGGCCACGAACAATAAGCAGCCAGTGAGAAAAATCGCTTTGAAAACGTAATAGTATTATAAGCGCCTCTTGTGGTTATATTCATTTTGATTTTGGTGGTGTCATGTAAATTATCTTTTCTGGGAGATGATATATTGGAAAAACGCCATTTGTGCATAATTCTGTAGGGCTTTATTTTACAATAGAAACTTTAAACTAAACTTCCGTATAGTATTGTTGTTATATTAAACTATTATGCTATATTGTATCGTTTTCCGAAATAAATTACTTAATTTATTTGGAATGCATTGTTCATTAATTCATCCTGTTCATCAGCTTCCATTTACATGTAGATGTGGCGAGTGTGGTATTAGTTAATACCAAGCTCTTTTAAGAACTTCTTTTAATTGAAGGATGAATTTTATAATGGTAAAATTTTCTAATCTTCAATAATCTACTGAATAGATATATCTTTGAAATGTTTCCACTGTGTAAATAAAAACTAAAAATTTAATAGGTACAATTTACTACAAGGATTTTGACAAACAACCTTTGCCGTTTAGACAAGTAAATGTGTGCTGTGTGTGATAATTACGATAAAAATATCACAATATTTGTCTCAGTTTGTAGTGACACTACTTGCTGTGTCAACGGTCGCGAGTTCGAGTCTCGCTTTGGGCATTCATTGTGTGATAAGCACGAATGTTTGTACTCCAGTCATGTATGTATTTAAAGCTATATATGTGTAGTTTATCAACTATCTGCTATCCATAACACAAAACTCGTAACTTATCATGGAACTAGATTGTGATGTGTGTTAATGTCCCAATATATAAAAAAAAACTATCCATGTACTGTACGCCCGTAAAGGAAAGTGTTAATTATTATCGTATGGTGTTATATATTAGGTACAAGTTTTAGTTTTCCACTTAGTTACAACCAATAATGTGAGCCCTGATTTATATAAAGACGCACGTGGGACGTGTAGGAAGCTCATGGTGTATATTTGCACCTTCCTTTGTCAAACCAGCATGTGTATGTGGCTTTATATTAATGTTAGGTTTATTGAAATTGGATCAAGAAATAATTGTCGCTAAGTCACCAAAAAGAGCAGTGGTTGGAGAAACTGTCTGTCGGTTTTCTACAGACTGTACTTCGGGGAGTGTGCCCACGAGCTCCACAGTCTCATATCGCCATCGCCATTCTTCTATCAGAACACCAGACGTACTGCAGGATACCATCCTTTCTTGGTTGACATTCCGACCACTCGCACTAAGCGCTATTCATCATCTTTTATAATGCGCACAGCCAAGAAGTGGAATGCCCTGCCTGCGTCTGTTTTTCCGAGTGCGTATAACCTGAATCTATTTAAGGTGCGTGTTAACAGGCTTCTCCTGGGCAAACTCGCTAGATCGTAGACCTTATCTGTGTCTTCGAGCTAAGATGAAGGTCAAGAGTGAACCCATTTCTAATAATAAATAAAACTGTCATATGGATTTTTTAATGGCTAATGAAGATATAATATGTGATACTATTGTTGGCTTTTGTATAAACTGATCTGATTTATATAAATAAAACAGTCTTACTTAGGCTTAAAATTTTTACTTCAAATAGTATCACCTTATCAAAATAGCTGAAATAAAAACCAATGATTTATTTTAACCGAGATAATATGTCTCATGCCCGATTTCACCAACAACCCATAAGCTACCACCTACGTATGGGATCCCTAGCTTAAAAGTCCCCTAAACTAACCTCTAAATTAAATTTCGTTTTACGATCGTCTTTAAGCCCATATTTCGAGCACCTAAATTTAGGGGGCCTTTTAATATTTAGGTGACCCCTAACTGTCGGTGAAACAGAAACTGTCCCCTAACAGCCTCCTTACCATGCTTAGGGGATCCCTTAAACTTAGGTGACGTTGGTGAAATTGGCCATAAGTGATGTTAGTGAAATCGGGCATTAGGCTACTTTTTACCGCAGGAGATTATCTCATTCCCACGGGAAAACACGTTATAAAACAACCCACAACAACTCATCATACCTGTACCGTTAAAACGTAACTAGAGACGAACCCGAGAGAAGTTAGGGTGAGTCACTAGTAATAATATAATCCTTATCAGACTCCTATTAGGTATAACTACAAGTTTGTATGAATGTGCATGAGTGTTTTTTACTTCCTATCGCTGAAACGACTGAAGTCTGAACTGATTTGGAAGTAGATACACCAACAGATTTATGACCTAGAATAACACAATATTATCGGTTAAGCAAACAAAAGGATGCACCCAAATGAAGTG